AGAAGCCAAAGTATTTTTCTACCGTATAAATTCAAATATTTCTCTATTTATAATATACGAGTAACTGCATGTCTCTTTATACGTACTGCTAACTAAAAATATAAATTTTTTAGTATAAATATTATCAAAAATAAAATTGATAAATTAAAGAAATACTATTCAGTTTGAAGATTAATTTGTTCTACTAAAATTATTAAACATTAAATAAAACTTACCTTCCAATGGGTTATCCATAATTATTGATTAAAATATAAAATGTATAGCCAAATAAATGAAGAAAGTATTATTCAGTACTGTATAAAACGACTATAGACTGTATCGACTGCAGAACATTATCATGTAATGAAGCAAGGTTGATGTGCCAATGAATTTTACAAAATGTTGTTCAAACTAAATGACATACGCGTACTTATCGCCTGTCTGCGTATCTCAACTTAAAGCTATAAATTAAAGTATTGCATACGAAAAGTAACATATGCTATATAGGTATGATATCTGGTTATTATTATTGTATTGCTATCATCAGATATTTTAATAGTGGGTTATATGTATTTTAAATTACCTTTTTTTCAAAATAGCAAATTACTAATGTTATGATAACCAATTTGTGTTAGAAGTAAATAATTTCTGTACTCTAAATGTGTGCACAGACGCAAACAAAATTTATATTTTTGAATAGCTGAGAACTTTCTTAACATATTATATGCATCGAATATATGGTAAAGTTGAGTAATTTTTAATAGCAGTCTGTCGTAGTGAAAAAATAATAAAAAAATTTTTTTTTCAAGTGTACAAAAAAAAAAAAAAAAAAAAATTAAAATGTGTATAACTATATTTTTCACTTATTTTAAAGAACTTGAACTTCAAATTAATTGCATTAAAATATTTAAAAAATAAATATTAAATCGAGAAAAAAATAAATATTTCGATAAAATAGCGATTTTACCATAAAATATGTACAAAAAAAAATGCTGTAAGTCGCGTTGATTTATACATAGGAACTTCAAACTTCGTTGATTTATACATCATAAAAAAAAAATATAAAAAATTAACATTTCAAACATGGGGTTTTTGCCGTCTACATTGATGTTTCAGACCACCAAGCAAAAATAATACACTAGGCAAAATCAAATTTTGCCGCCTCTAAAAAAAAAAATTTGAGCTCTTATTTTTACTTAGCCCCTCCTCCTATTTTTATGTGACATATTTACTTATAAAAAATTTTAATTTTTTATTTTATGGATAAAATTATATGTAAAAAGACTTAAAAATGATTTCTATTTCTATTACTCAAAATTCATCACTACCACTAACGGATATGTGGTTATTTATATTTTTTGAATAATTGAAAACGCCCAACGTAGGCCGTAATATAAAGTAATATAATAACTTTAGACATTATTTTATTATATAGGTAAATGATTTTCATGAATGAATTCATTTAAATATTTTTCTTATAAAAAACAAATAGAACTAAAAAAATGTTCGAGTCAATTTTGAAAATGTCGCTCTAGACAGGTGCCTAGGTCGTCTATACTTTGAGCCGGTCCTGTACAAATATATATATGGAGTATAATATATTAGAGTATCTGAAAAACGTATACGAAATTACGGGAAAATACAACAAGTTACAGGCTGGTAATAGTATCCCGAATCAACGTAAGAAAGATAAAATGTCTTATTATTACGACTTTTCATTACGAATAAAAATGATACAGAACTTGATTTTGGTTTGATAATCTTATAATTTGTTTTAACCATACACCGTAAAATGTACATCTAACTTAAAAGTATTGTTAGTATTGTTCGAATCATCCGTTTATCTGTACATATCCGCAGTGACGGTGCTAGAGTTTGCAAGGCTCTGGGCAAAATAAATGTTGGGTCTTATAATTTATATTAATAAAATATTTTAAGTTCAGTTAAATTAGAACCGCGGGGCCCTGGGTAACTGCCCCTATTGCCCACCCCCTCGTACCGTCCCTGCATATCCGTACATATCAATCACAATGAGCGAGAATGTATCATTCGTGTTGACTGAAAAAGGCAAACGACTGCTAGTTTTAAATGATTTTGAAATTTTTAAAAACTTACATATGTACCTTTTTTCTATCGTGTAGGAACTAACGTACGTGTTTTTTGTACCTGTTACTCTCGTGTAGGAACTTACATTTGCCCCTATATACTGTATACATATTATGTATATGTTCGTGCAAATTGTATGTATGTGCATCTATTTTATAATCTAGTTCCCAAGTTTATTAATGTATTTGTTATCTACTTTAAATTATACTAAATTTGTTATCTATAATAATTATATTTGTAAGTGGACATTTATCCGTATAAAATTATAGTAAATAAATAAATGAATAAATAAATAAATAAATAAAATGAATATTATAGACCAGGCATGTCAAACACGCGGCCCGCGAGCTGCATTCGGCCCACGATTAATTTTTTGTGGCCCGCAACTACCAATATCAATCGACAAAATAAAAAATGAACAGTAAAAAAAAAAAAAAAATTTAATATATTAATGTCGTGTTGCAACTATGTTAGATTCTTGGATAATGTTATATTTTGGTATACGTTATTATGTCTTATATTCTAATAAACTTTAATCGAGTAAGTTTCACCGATGGTTTTAAGGCGGGTTCCCACGGCGCGTTAGGCTCGGTTAACTCGTGGCTCGGCGAACTTCGCGCAGCGTGGTTGTTGTATCGAGACTACATATATGCTCGGTGTATTACGAGCCACATATTAGACTACACCATTCCACGGCGCGTGACTTGGCGAGCCAACGAGCTTATCCGAACCGATCAGAATTAAAACGTATACTACGGCTCGCCGAACCACACGCCTGCGGGAACGCTGTTTAAGTTCGCGGCTCGTTTCTTTTGGCGCGGACACATCGGACCGACAATTTTCGGTTAGACACGAGCTTGGCCGAGCTATACCGCGCCTAGACGAGCAAGAGCGTTCCCACGACGCGTGTAGTGTACCAGGCCAGCGTATTTGGCTGGTGACTCGCCGAGCCACGTGCCGTGAGAACCCGCCTGTATATGTGCACATATGAGTATACATTAATTTATATTTATTTATTTTTTTACTCGCATTTATATAAAAATATAAATTTTTATGTGCGTAGTAAATTATTCATTACCTATACTTAGCCCACTTGATATTTTGAGTTTGACATGCCTACAAGAGCCAGCGCGACTCGGAGGCGAGCAGGGCTCTTGCCCGAGGTCTCGTGTTTTTATGAGGGCCTCGCGGCTCGAAACTTATTTTTTTTGTACATAATGATGAATACTTTAAGTAAGATAAAGGTATTAGAATGTTCGTGACTATTGTTACGCGGTGGATCTGTCTCCATGCGATAACGCGTATCGATAGCTCGCGAATATTTTGGAACTACGGTAGACCTATATATATCATTGCGCAACAGACGAACATACGTAGGTAGTATGTTATTAATGGCCCATGTGACGTGTTCGTTCTTCTCCAGTATGTAATTTCTGTTTATTTTAATAAAGATTTGACTGTTTTTACGCTTTTATTTTTTTTCCGTTTTGAATCTACGCGATCTCAGTAACTCTCCCATCAATAAACTTTGAATAATGATGTATGAAAAATAAGAACTCGTATTATTTATCATCATTGTAGGAGTATATATTATATGAATAACTATTTTTACGGGGATTTTGAAGATTACGGTCTCACTGGTTCAGAGAAACCGTTACCGATCGTGTTACCCTACACGCACGGCCGTCGATCAAAACAACGAAAAAAGATTACGTAGAAAACGCAATATTATTAGATTATATTTTGTTCATTTATTGTTGATACGATAAAAATATATCATAGGAATTCATATATCGGATCAAGCACATTGTTCGAATGTCATATTATTCTGAGATCAATATTTTTGGGGAATACGCTAGTGGTTTTTTTTTTATACAAGGATCTCGCGAAAGTTATGCCCTGCATGCCTGGTATAGACATAAACAAATCGTGAACTGCGTACAAAGTGGAGATTATAAAATATCACGGTTTTCAAAAATCGAATCAAAACGACGGCACCGGTGGGTCAATTCCTCGTTGTCAGGTAGTGCTCGGAAGGTTTTAACGAAAATGGCATTTGACACGCGTTATTAGGAGTTTTCAGTGGAAAATTTTATCGATAGGATTACTTGGAGTTGATCGTGTTTAATTGTTAGCGAATCGAAAAAAAAGCAAACTTGTCAGTCGAACAAGCACAATTGCAATATATTGTGTTTCGCGTCTAAACGTCGTGTTTACGTACAGTTCGGTGAAAACCGAAGTCTCCAAGCCGTGCAGTACGTCATCGCACGAACACACGGTTTTTTATTTTTATTCGAAACGAAAAGAGGAAACGCGAATAAAACCCGTTTGGGAAAACCGACGGGGCAGGTGTGTGAATGTTGTACGTGGCCGGGAATCGGTTCGGGCGCGTCGGCGGACGGCGGGGTCGCTTTGAGACGGATCCAAACAGCTGGCAACGGATAACAAAGGAAAACAAAGAAAACCGTCGCGGCGTTCCTGAGCAACGGGTGTGGACAAGGGGAGGGGCGGAGGGAGTGGAGCTATGGTCGCGCACCTGGGACCGGGTCGGTGCTCTCGCGGTCCGGCCGGAACGACGTGCTGTTATCGCGGGCCGTTCGACGCACGCTGCGAATCGATAGGGAGGAGAGGACGACGGGGGAACGAGCGACGTTCACGTTCGCGGCGGAGAGAAAAATGTCAAACGTCGTGCGGCGGCGGCGACGGCGCGCGAAAACCACGAGAGAAATCGACGCGGCGGCTCGCCAGTCCGGCCAACAGCATAGCGCCGACCGATGCGGCGGGTCGCGGGTGCGAGCGCGAGAGAGTACTCTGAACGGGCGGCGGCGGCGGCTTTGGGTGTAATAGCGACAGATAGCGCTGTTATCATCAACGTGAGGACGGAGAGATGATAGGGGAGTGGAATGGGTGGCGAGAGGGAGCGGTACGCCATGGCGTCGTTAGCTGTAGTCTCCTCCATGAGGAACGCGCGCCAGCATTCGATATAAATGGTTTCCGAGAACCCGTGTGCGCGCCTGCCCTTGAGTAAGGGATAGCAGTTCGAGGTTAGTAGCGAGGACACCAGCAGTATTACGGGCTGCAGACGTTGGCGCTCAAGACACACGGACACGCGCGAACGCTGGACCGACACGTAATAGCCGCCGTTGACATCTTCGCTGTCGTAGTCCCTTCGACCCCGACGTTGCCGTTGTCCACTTATCATTTGCCGGGATTATTGTTATCGCTACCGCGTTTTGGCACCATCGCCGTTTACTGCGCGCTAGCGCGCGCTTATTTCCGTTACGGAGCGACACGCGCCGCTGTGAACGATAGGGGTTCCCAGGGATCGGACACGCGTCGTCGTCGTCGACACGCCGTCGTGCGGCTGTGCGCGCGCGAACGCAAACGTGGAAACCACTCGCTCTCGAAGATGTGATCGACGGACGCGTGGCACATCTCCATACGCCACCCGCAAGTACGCCGTCCAGTTAGCCCTGATTGCCGGAGCCACCAATTGTCGCAGCAACATGGCGTCCCGTCGCAAAGAATATTTGAGTAAGTGTGTGTGTGTGTGCATGTATGTACGCACTCATCTAAGTAGTTATAGGCTCGTCCTGGCCTCTTAGTATGATGGACTCCGTATCGGTAGTGCATTGTGTTGCTTCAGCGATCTATCACCGACGTGTACAGTTTTACTGTTTGTCAACATTTGAGCTTGTGACAAACCCTAATGGTTATCCCAGTCATCTATGGGCCTGTAGCCACAGACTGATTTTCATCGCTGATTGTCTTTGTGATATTCCATGACAATTTGTTGATTTTACTGGTTGTGTTCGTAAATTTACAATAGAAGTATTACATCATCACTAATAATGTTTTCAACAATATTTTTCCATTGTTATGTTTCATGTTAATTTAGTGTCATCCACTATCTTTTGAAAACATGAGTTTAATGTAAATATTTAACAAAATATGTCATATTCTTATCATTGTGTGTTATCAAACTTCCTTAGTACAAACGTTTGTTTTTTTATCCTAAATTGAACACGTATTTAGAGTTAATCTTTTGTTACCGTCTTTGTTCGTTATAATATGTTTTATTTTGTATATTGTCTCCATCACATCCACTACATAAATATATATATATATATATATATATTTATATATATATAATTAAATTGATAGTAAATATCAATTTTCTTATAACAGAATTATAGGAAATTGCTTAGCTACAGAATTTTTGTTTACATTTGATGTTTTTCTATGATTAAAATTATTCATTATGGCTTAGTGTTTATTGTTAATTTGCATTGAATACTATTCTGTTTGTGTTAGTTGTTTATTTATAAAGGTTTAAATTGTATTAGTTTTTTTGAAAGTATTTGATTCATTTCAGTCTTAGAATATATTTTTTCGACTAAATTGTATTGTGTTTCCAATACATTTACAAAATGAAAGAAAAAGAAATATCAAGTAAGTATCCACTGTGTATATTAGAAATTTGTCTGTGTTCTCTAACTAATTTATAACCTGATTATGAGAATTCACATCACTATTCTAACATTTCAGTTTCAATTATTTAATCATAACTTAATTTATTAATTTATCTCTTAATCTGATAAAGCTAAATATTTGTCAAGTATAGCTCTTGGAGTTGCTTATAGTTATAAATATATATGATAATTGATTATAGAATAAATAAATAGGCTATGGGATAGGGGTTTTTGAATACTAAAATTATCTTCATACAGTTAAGCTCATTAGAAATGTTGCATCAATGAATAATGAATAATTTTTCCAAAGAACTACATTTTTATTCTATCTTAATATGAATGTCGCCTCACCTCTACTACAATAGTTCTCTGATAACCACCATTTCATATCTGCATTTTTATCAATAGATTTACGAATAAAACTGATTCTGAACTTAATAAAATAAATACTGTTTTATTTATTTATATTATACCAATATAATACAAATTAAAAATGTAATCTTAAAAAATTATATATAACAATATTAAGGTTATTTATTGTAATGATTTTTTTATTTTTTTTTAATACTTGCATTAAAAATACATTTGTCTCAACAATTAAAAGATATAAAGACAGAGAAAAGAGAGAAAAAAATATACACATGCACTCATATTTACATACAGGGTTGGGCAAGATACTTAAAAAAAGTATGATTTATGCATTTAGTGTATCTAGATAAAAGATACAAGATACAAGATACTTGTATCAAAGATACATTGATACTTTTATATTTCCAATTTAATTTTATTAACTTTTAAACATAAAAGATTTATACAATACACTATACAGTCCATATTCTATAGTACTCTATATACAGTAGGTACTTATAAATTCATAAATATTAAATAATACAATAAGTCAATACATATTATAAAATATATCACTATAAATTATAGTCTATAATTCATTAATACACCAAAATTACATGAAAATTACATCTTTATTTTTACTTATATATAGTTAGTTTATATTATATTATAGTTATACATGTGTATAATTGGTTGTGGTCTTATGGATTACGGTTTTAAATTAAATGTTATATTTATCAATAAAATCTTGATTTCCTTTAAGAAAAATTAATTTTTCAAACATTTTATCTGATAGATTAGATCTACTGGGTGAGTGCACAAAACTAGCTAATGAAAATAAATGCTCAACAGGAGCAGATGAACACAGATTTGTATTATAATTTATAAATTGTTTTTTTATAGATGAATAGTTATTTAAACAATTTAATGATTTGTTATTTTTCTTAAAGTAGGTGATTAATTCAAGCTCATTTTTTGATTGCTGTTTATTTTCAACTTGAGAAGAAAATATAAAAAAACTTTCTTCGGAATCTTTACTGGATTCATGATAACTAAATTCATTAATTATTTTTTCAGTAGTATTTATACATAAACTCTGTATTGTTATTTTTTTTTTGGTGGTCACTTATGTAATCTGGAATCCATCTTTATCTTTTTCAGTTCATTGTGAAATACTTTATAATATACAATATAATAAATAATAATAGATACATTACTTTTATATGTAGTTGAAAATTTGTAGTCAATTTAAGAAATCCAGAAAGTATTTTATTTTCCTTTTTAACATATTGACATGTCATACACAATATTTTTACAGCATAATCACAACCATTTTGTTCAGTAAAATAATCCATTAAAAAAAAATAAAAAAATTGATATATAATATATCAATCCGTCCAAAAAGGTCTAACGAACAGGTAAATTCCTAAACGGCTCCGGTTTTGTACACTACAAATTCTTTCCCACTTTATACATACTTAAGGTACGATTTGGCTAGAGCGACTGCGACCGTGTTTCACTGCGTCAATGTTATTATATGTACCTTAATTGTGCTTAACAAATTTACCCGATATATGATTTTTTTTTAATATTTTTATTTATACATTTTTTACATTTTTTAAATATTTTTTAACATTAAAAATTTAAAATTTAATATTATACTATACGCTTTTTTTTTATAATTTTAATAATTTACATAGTGTGCACAAAGACATTTTTAACCACACCTCTTTTGAGACAGTCCTAAGTCTGTATAAAGTGGGAAGGACTTTGTGGTGTACAAAACCGGAGCCATTTAGGAATTTATCTGTTCGTTAGACCTTTTTGGACGGGAGCCGTTTGGGAATTGACCTTTTTGTAAAACGGGAGCCGAAGGAGACGACCCATTTTTTAGGTGTAGCAGGTGATCTACCGTATTATATTATTTTATATTACACTATTATAATACGCAATATTGCGATAACAATTAATGACATTTACATAGACAAATAATTCTATTATACTTCTATGGATATTTACAATATAACTACGAGTCATTAGCAATGTTGCTGGATAGGTTAGTTTCAAATTGTTCGTTGGTCAGAATTTTTTCTGTAATGCATGCATCTGAATTTTATAAAATAATTGTTGATGAAAAATCAACTGTAAGTATTTTACAACTTCACAATTAACTTCCAAATGACAGTGAAATGCCAAATTGTAAAAAATGTGATTCTGAAATATTGTGATCAGAAAAAAAAGACTAGCTTCTGGTGAACAACGTGAGTACCAAAGTTTAAGATGCGTTAAAAATCTTGTATCTTTTGGGAAAAAAAGATACATGATACTTCCATAAAATGTATCATGATACAAGTTACAATATACATTGTATCTTTGATACTGCCCAACCCTGTATATACATATGTATTAAATTGTATTACCTTTTATTTTAAGAAATGAGTAAAGTTTCTTAAAAATATTATTAAAAAAATAAAAGATAAATTGATGTGATACATTATGATAAATAAAAATTGTATATAATGGCAAAAGCATTTGTATTTCAATTTATAGAATAGATAAAGGAAGTGATAGCCTGGAATATATTTCATATTGCTTTAAAGTATTGTGTACTATTTTTAAAAAATTCATGTTTTACTTCAAAAAATTCCTATAACCCTAATGTCAAATTTTAAACACCATTTTTAAGTTTCCTGTTTTGATTATTTTATATATAGAGTATTTAGGAATCAATTATTTTTGAGACTGAATTTACAATTGTATTATTTTTTTAATTATTCTTAACATTAAGTTATTTATATCCATTGCTTAATATAGAAAAAAAAAATGTTAGAAAATAAATTTTTTTCGACTAGGTATTTATTATAATTTCTTTCATTAGGTTTCACTTTTTTAATCGCATCTCTTTAAATTTAAATGTTATCAAAATTAGGTGAGTGTATTATACTTTGATGGTTAAGTATTTTTATTTAAGTGTATAGCAATGCAAAATATAAGGCAGTTATGAGTAAATATTGTGTCAAATTTTTTATTTTTGTATACATAAATAAATTATTATAATTTTTATAGCATAGCAACAAATATAAGAATATTGTAAATAAATAAATGGATTTTTTCCGTAATAATTAAAATATTTTGAAGATGCTATGTATTTTCCAATTAATTTTTTTGATCACTAATGAAAAATATTTTCATACAAATAAAAATTTTCTAAAATAATGAAGTTTATCTAGAAGTAGAATATGCAAATATTTGTATTTTTTTAATTATTTTTAATAGTATTTAATTTAAAGCTTACTGTTTCTTTAAATTAATGAGTACATTTTTAATTTTATCGAAAAATTCTTTGGTAGTTTAACTGTTTACATTATTTAGAAGACTATAACATGTTAACATTTAAAATTATTCACACCTTAATAATGCAATTGGAAGAAGTACCCTTTATCATTGTTTTTAACAAGGATGTGTAATACTTATGGATAAGTGTACATAAATTATACACATGTAATAGGGGCAACTAAACAGTAGCTCGTATCTCATCGTAACATTTTTACAAAAAAAATTTTTTATATGATTTTATGTATTTGATAAAGTTTAAGAAATAGTTAATTAAATTACCTTGTTTACATCAGCTCCCTTCCGGGCAGTGAGCATGAAAGTTGGCAGTGCTAGTATTAACTAGTAGTAATAACGCTCCTGTTAATTCAAGCCCAATAATCGAATTCGAATGGTTCTTCAATATGGTGTTCCAAGCTGCATTGGTAGCTATCCCTCGTAAAAATAATTCACAAGGTTCGAAATTTGTCCGTCCTTCTCCTGTTTGGTGGAATAACAATTGTACGGTCGCAGTTAAAGACCGCGCTATAGCTTTTCGTAAATTTCGTAGAAGTTATTCCATGAATACTTTCTTAGTTTACCAGAGGGTATGCGCCTCCACACGTATCACCCTTAATTCCGCCAAAAGACAGTCCTGGCATTCTTTTTGCTCTTCTGTTAACCCATCCATTTCGATTTCTTCATTTTGGTCAATAACTAAATGTTTTAAAAATTCACAACGCACCTTCGGATAGATACCCTGTTAATGACGACTGGTTTCTAAGCTTTTGCTCAAAGGTTGCCCCTTCTTATGTTCCATCCCTTGCAGAATCTTACCCCGTTGATATCGTCTCCACTTCAGTACATCCTCAAATTCTATCCAACGCATTCACGCTAGTCGAATTAATGTCTGCTATAAATCACCGTTCTTCTGTAGCCTCAGGGCCTGACTTTATTTCACCACTATTTCTAAAACATCTACCACAAGATGCCTATCCGTTACTTCTTAATATTTTAAACCGTCTGTGGCTTAACAGCTTGATTCCTCCTTCCTGGAAAGAATTCGAGGTTTTCCCGATTCCCAAATCCAATGGCGAGGGTTTTCGTTCTATCTCCCTTTCTTTGTCTTTTTGTAAGGTTGTGGAAACAATTTTAAAAAATCTGTGGAAAAAATTTTAAAAAATCGTTTGGATTGGTGGCTAGAATCCAACCATATTTTTCCCAGTAATATGTATGGTTTCAGACTTGGCCTTGGCACAATGGACTGTCTCGCTCATTTCTTGATTTCTTGAGTCATATTCACTATTTAACGATTACATCTTAGCCCATTATCCTAACTCATATCTAGTCTCCACGGACGGATCCGTTGCCAAATTATCCGCAGGCTATTCTTTTTTCATCTCAAGCCTTTCTATCAAGTACTCCAATAATGCTCCCTTATCCGCCTCATCTTTTACGACAGAATGCCTCACTATATTGGTAGCTCTGCATACCATTAAAACCTTAAATGCACGCTACTTCGTCATTGTCTCAGATTCCCAGTCTTGCCTCATGGCTTTAAATACCTCTCCTCTTGTCTCACACGTTTCCTATCTCATTCTCCAAATTTGTTCTATCCTCCTCTCTCTCTCCTGCCTTGGGTATACTATCGACTTTTTATGGTTCCCAGTCATACTGGTATTTTAGGCAACGAAATCGCAGACGCTCTTGCAACTTCATGCTATTTCAATGTCCCCTCTCCGATCAAAATTCCCTACTCCGATTTTACACCCAATCTCAAGGCTCACACTTTGAGATTGTGGAATCGAAAATGGTCAATCCTACCTCCAACCTTCGCTGTTTCTTATTGCCTAGTCTGTCCTCACGTCCTACATTTTCCCTGGTTTCAGAATATCCCTATTTCCCGTAAAGTCATCATCTCTTTTTCTCGCCTCCGGTTCGGCCACAACCGCCTCCCGGCCCACTCATCCCATTTATCTCTTAATGATTCTCCCTTCTGTACTCGACACGTTGATCCTGCTATATGCAATGCTTCGCATCTCCTCCGATGACCATATCCTTCGTGTTGTCTCTGTCGACATTCCCTCCAATGGCGATGTTACGAGCAACACAAACAGCAACCTAACCGGCAGTAAGAGTGCGATTGCGTGTCTTTATTCTGAATTTCTGTTATTCAGTTAATCGGTTATAATGAATTGATATCATCCACTACATTTTCTGACATTGACGACAATTATTTTTAGTATTTTTTTCTTTTTAAAACGCTTGCACTATTACTTGAATTCAACAAACTGAGCTGAGGTGGACTGGAAACAGAATAGCACAGGAAGATTTGATATTGTAGCGACCCATTTTATAATTTTCAATATACAGACTTGTAATTAGAGCAGGCTAAAGCCCCAGGGTCTGTACCTCAGTAAGCGCTCGTTGTCTCAATCTTTTATATAAAACTATTTTACAATCTTATTCGCTGTAGTATAAGATTTCAATTTGAATATTTTTACTGTACTAAAGTATATTCAAGTATAAACAAGTAGTGTTTATATTTAGGTTAAAAAGAGTTATGTATAAGGGATTTCGAACCAATCAGTCCTAGGGCCCTCAAAAGTTCTTGTCCGCCCTGCTTGTAACAACTTATTTATAAAGTAACTTTAGTTCTATACAATTTTTGAAAACTGAAGTAACAATGTTTTCTTATGTCAGCATACTAACTAATTCCTGGTAGATCCAATAAGGCCTTGGACAAAATTATACAATACTATTCGTATATTTAATTATTAATTAATATAATATTGCTGCTGAGTAAATTAACACGATTAACATGATTGTCTACATATTTTTAGCATAATATTAAAATGTTCCTAAATTTATATAATATAACATGAATCAAATTAATATTCTAATGCTTTTGGGCTGACACATAATCTGATACTAACTGTCACCGACACAAGGAAATAAATCTCCCTAACTCCCATGGCCAAACTTTGGCGTTGAGGCTGTGCAATAATTTTATCATCTTCCTTTATGACCTTAATGTTGTTACTGCACGTTAATACACACTACTACTGCTTAATGCACTCTATAATCAGGCATGTAATTTAGGGGGGGATAGGAGTAATCGCAATCTCCTCCCCAAGACTGTATTGTAGTAATTAATAATTAATGAAAAAAAAAATTGAATGTCATGTATCAATAGAAAATATTATTTTTATTGTCCATGCTTGCGTCACTCTCATATCGATTTTTTATCTATGGTCACTCCAAAGATGTATAATACAACTCCATGGTCATTACTCAAAATATAGTAACGAATTATGTAACTACGACAAAAACTGTTTTTATGTTCGTTTTATTTTTTATTTATTTGTTTATACCCGAACGTTGTACTGCCCGGTGCATTCGTTTTATTGATTTTTTTTTTATTTTATCAGTAATCCTGATATCCTTTTTTTAGGAAAAGAGGGGGGGTTAGCTTTTAAACCCTCCCTGACTATGTCACTGATCGCCTCCCCCCAAAATAAGTATTCATTTACGTGCCTGGCTATAGCACTAGAGTACGTACGTGAAAGCAGAAAAGAAATTACTTAACATTTTAAAATTAAAAACACCTTAATATTTTAAACATCACACGACGTTTTTCTTCACACGTGCTTCATAGTAACTGCAATAGAAGAAGAACATGAATATGTCAAAATTATTATATTTATTCTGTTGTATTGTTGTACTTGTATTATTAAATTCCAATAGAACTGAATTTTATTTAAATTGATTATTATTATATAAAAAATAAACGTTGATAGGATTTATTTCCTATTTAAAAGGAAAATGATAAAATGTATTCATTAGTATAAGGGCGTATTGAATTCCTATTGGAATAAACGCTGTTTATGAATAAATTGATTGATGAAATTAGCATATATACATTTTTCAGATTTTTTGTTTTTTGTCATTTTGTTTAATTTTTTTCATATTAGCACAGATTGCATGAAATCAGATGGTGCACTCACATTGTTTCCTGAAAATGTAAACAATCCATACTATATCCAAGACTACTATTAAAAAAAAAAAAAAAAATTATTTATCTATGGAAAAATATTATTTGTATGATGAGTATCACTGCATTTTGTTTTTATGACACTATGATAATGCCAAATTTGTTTACTTGTGAAAAATTTGAACTTTGGTTATAGAAAAATGTTTGTAGAATGCAGTTATTTCTATGTGTTTACCCTAGCATAAGAGTGATGGTGACATTGCTTTCAATATTGTTGAATTGGCATGCATTTACATTTTCAATATAGGGTTGCACCATCTGATTTAACACCATCATCAATCTGGTTTAATGTAATCTATACAAATATTAGTAAAATTAGTAATATTTGGAAATTTTAAATAATTTTTACATTTGAATGAAGTTTTATACTTTTAATAAAATTTAAAAATGTTATTATTATTTTTGTATCTTATCCATTTTATAATTGTTTTTATTAAATTTAAAGAGTCTTAAAATATTAGTCTAACCTATGTATTAAATATACATGTTGTATTTATTATTTACATATATATTTGAATTGGGTGTAGAGTAGAGGGCATATCAAGTAGTTTTGAAATTCGTTAAATATAGATTTTCTTAACTTAAAGTAATCAATAATATTGCAGCATTTATTGGTTGTAAACTATATTTTTTTTCTGAAGTTTTCAATCCAAGGATTGTTTTGCAGTAATTTCTATGCCTTTGTAAACTGTGATATTAAACATAAATTTATAAGATTAAAAAATTTGTCAGTTTTCAAAATTGATTTTTATTGATTTAATTACTAATGACTTTATTTTTACCCCTTAACAATGTAAATCATGCAGGTTATAGTATACATTATTTCATAATTGTTGATAAAATTTAGTAGTTTTATTTATGTGTTATACAGTTAAATATATGTTTCATTGACTACAAACATAAAAATGTATTTATGTAATCAAGCTTAATTTTCTCTTAAAAATTTTAAATATGGTCGAAAAAAATGTTTCAGACTCAAAATATTATAGATGGTTAGACAAAAAACCTCTATCAGAAACAGTCTCATGGACTTGTAAAGAAAAGTTTTGGCTAATATCTGCTATACATCATTATGGAGCCCAGGATTGGTAAATATGTTTTATTGTATAACATAATTTCTTACAGATATAATTTTTTAATTAGTAAGGACTATATACTTAATAAATAAATGTAATATGTCTTACATAATTTTGTCTGTAATTTCTTAATACTAATATTAGACATATATGGTTTTTATAAAAAGAAATTAAAAAGTTTGTAAATCGATTTATTCTATACTACACTAAACGAACAAAAGTTATCTGCCATAAAAATTGTATAGAAAAAAAAAAATAATTACAACCAATCTCATAACTAAAGACCTGATTTATATGCATTTTAAATTAAAATATATGCATGCAAAAATGCATTAAAAAAAGTCAAAATACACAAAAAAAAAAAAATGCAAAACATTCAAAATAAAATTTCAATTTTTATCAAATTTTATATTTGATTTTAATTTTGCGGTGATAATTATTAATTAATTTTATTAAAATTTTCAAAAACAAAAAGTTAGATGCAAGTATGCAATAAGAAAATGTATTTGTTTAATTATAGAAATTGTAAAAATAACAAATTGAAAAAATATCTAAATAAATAAATAAGAACATATAAGATGCAAATATTTGATCACCCATTTATAAATATAATTAGTTAATACTTACTGTAGTCGAATACCAGGAAAATAAAAAAATTGCTTATTTTAAAATGTTGGTCGAAATGAAAAGGAGACAATATATAAACTAATGTTATAATACATAAAAATATGAATACAAATTTCTACGAACGTATTGTAAAAATTGCAATGCATGTTTACCCATACAGGCACACTCAGCGCTGATGGGTGTACTTGGTTACAACATAATTCTTGCTAAAAATTGTAGAAATGTAGCAGTGGTTGTAATAATGTACCTATGTTGTTTTGAGTATTTTATCATTTTATCAACAAGACTTGATAAAATAGGTAAAGCCATGTCTCCATTATAAAACTTATAACCAACTTATGGAAGTTCAGTAATTTATTTTCAGTGTCTGAATATTCTTTGAGATATAACATTTTTGATATACAAAATGTACCTGCATATAATCTGTTTTTTTTATTCAACACCATTTTGGATTGTTTGGTGTTTGAACAGTTTTTTGTTAAAATGTGCAGAACATGAACTAACGTCAGAATTGCTAAAATATGTAGTATAAAATATTGATATTTAATTAATCAATTAAAAATTTGTAGACACTCATTGACTGCATGTATTATACATGCTATAATAGCACTTGCATTTTATGCTAAATTCGGTCATTACTCATGTGTAATTACTTCAATAATTTCTTGAAAAATTAAAAACTTAATTGCATATATTTTGTGAAGATTCCCTGTCAGAAAAATGACTGTGTAGTTATAATATAATCAATTATAGAGTTTGTCACACATTAATTTACATTGTTAAATGTTACTATCAAATAGTATACAAATTCATAATATTACATTTTTAAATATATAGGAAATCTATTGCTCAAGTTCTTAAAAATGTTGGAGAACCACATAGACCTAGAGATTGGTATTCATCAAAAAATTGCGAACGTCAGTTTAAAATGATTATATCCAATTTTAAAAAAGAAATCAAGATAAAGCCTTTCAATAATGTAATGGAACATGTTGTTGAAGTCATGAAAATTAGTAAAGAAATTATATTAAATATTTGAATTATTAAGTAATATTTATAAATAAAAAATATTTAAAACAAATTTTTTGTAAACTTTAGAATACATTCGTGAATTACAAGAAACAAATGAGAATTTAGTAAATAAAGTAAATGGTATGTGCAAAGTTTTGAATCGCATTAAACAAGGAAATTTATCAAGAAGTGAAGCCATTTCACTTTATTCAAATGCAAGAAGGTTATTATTATTAAATTTTTTTTTTGAAATTCAGATATTTGTAAAATGTGTGTTTATACATATTTTAGAACTGAAGTCGAAGGTAAACAATATGTGGAACAACTTTTGATTAGGCAAACTACTTGGTTGGCTTCAGAAATTTCCAGCTCTGGGTTATCAGAGGAGGTATATTTGATTAAATACTTTTTGTATATCTAAATTAAAAAATTGATTTATTTTATATTGTTTTTAATTAGTGTCTTCATAGTTATATTTAATTTTTATTTATTATATTCAAAGTTAAATTATTCTTATATTTTAGCCAATTAAATGGAATGCGCCATCTGCTCCTTTATTGACAAGTCTTCTAAGATCGCGTAGTACTATATCAGTTAGTAGGACTGTAACTGCTATTACTGCTACTGCTACTACTTCTATACTACATCCTGTAGGTGGTACATCTAGGACTAGATCTGGAAAATTATTATCAACATCTCCTACTGTTAGAACTCCTACACAAGGTAAATTTTTTTTATCTAAGTATCAATTTCATAATACATTTTTATTTTAAGATGAGTATTTTAATCAATAAAATAAATAAATTTATAGTTATAATAATTATTAAAACTTATTACCATTATAAATTATTAGGAACTCCTACACTTTCCAAACTGCTAGAAGCTCCAGCAAACCCTTATATACCAAGTCCTCAACAAGCATCCCAAAAAAATAAGCTAAGTAAGTATAGTATAAGTAAATAATTTAATTTAAATATTGATGCATATAAATAAATCATTTTAATTAAATAAAAAAATTATGATTATGTACAATTATTTATAATCAATTGATACAGAAAGTAGCATTTAAAAATATTATTTTTTAGATGATATTGTTGGAACAGATAAGCTTATTGGAAATACTTCTAGAAAAGTGAGTTTGAAAACATATACTATTTTATAACAACTTAATTAGTATATTTTGTTTTAATAATTGCTTAATAAAAATCATTTCTATGTCTGACTGTCATTTTAAAGTTTTATAGGTATGAAATCTGATTACTTCATATTTTTTCATTTTATTAATATTTTTTGATAATTTGTATTCATTTTTTATAATATTCATAACCATTTAAAATGTCTAACATGAAAATAAAAATTTAAATAAAACCACTGGTAATCTATTATTATCAATAAATTTTGTTCCTAAATATTATTTAAGTTTGAAATTAATATATTATAATGTTTTATTGTACTATATTAATTTTTAATGTATATGATTTAGAGAATTTATGTAATTTATTGTTTTTAGTTAAGTCTGGATTTTAATGTTTATTAATATGTTAAATGATTGAAGTCCAGATTAATTAATTTACTGATTTTATTTAGGGTGCCTTAAATAATTCATATATATGGTATACATTTTATGACAAATTAAATTTTTTTTCCAGAATATATATGTAATTTATTTTTATAATTTGTTATAGGAGAACTCACCGTCAACATCATTGAATAAAGTACGAATGGATAATACATCAAACTCTGGGTCTTTTAATCAGACTAATAGAATTGATTTATCAGCTTCGAAGAGACAGACACCTAAGAGTGTTGGTTCAGCAGTTAAAAATGGATCTAAAGCAAATTCAAATATTGTTAATTTGTTAAGTGATAGTGATAATGAAGAAGGTGATAAAAGTCTAGTTCATCAAAGTCTCCAACCAAAACATTTATTTGAAGAGAAAAATGATAATATTACTATTAATGCTAGTAATTGTAAAAGAATTGAAACCAGAGCCACAAGAAGTCAAACAAGAGCAGAAGGGGGTTTCAAACATTTGAATGACACTAAACTATCTGGTGGAAAGAAGGATCATGAAACTCTGCGACAACATAGTGGAGAAACTCAAATTACTGAAACTCATTCAATTGATGATGAATTGATTGATATTGATCAAATCGAAGTTGAACCTTTATCATCAGTTCAAGATGAAACAATTAATCACACACCTTCCAAAATTACGAGATCTTCTGTACAAAGACTTAAATTAAATAGTCCTGCAGAAAATATATTACCCATTAAAATGAAGAATAAAGAAATAAATAATCAAATGTTAGAAGAAATTTCAGCCAATTTCGTTTTAAATTCATCAATCAAAAACGTAGCTACAGAATATAAAAATGTAATGGTTGGTCAGTCGCGAATTGACAATGGAAGTTTATCAGGGTGTCTTGTTCCAGTTGATGCATCAACTGTCAAAGATGGTATTTTGTTACGTAAAGATGGGCAATCTTTCCCACATCCTGCTAATACTTTAACTACGTTTGATGGAAAAGTTATAAAACAAAAAAGATTAATTGAAATTAAAGGAGCCAACTTGAGGTGTATTGATAGTAGAAGTGACGCAAAATACTTGGCGTTTTCCAATCAACCAATTGTTGTCGTCAACAAAATTAAAAAACCATTCAATATAAAACTAGCTTCTTCTGAGGCAAAAGACAACATTGATGATATTCAAATAACTAATAGTGAAATAAAAAAAACTGTTAAATTACGTAATAGTTCACAAAATTTGAATCCATTAATAGAAAATAATTGTTCACACACTGATGAAGTAATTATTATAGATGATGATGTCAATATCAATGTTGATGAAAATACTAAAAATAAAGATGAATCACCTTGTAATAGTGAATCACAAAACTTATGTTCAACAGTAGCTGGAACAAATGATAGTGGTTCAAATATATCAGGTAATTCAAAATCTGTTGGTTTTCAGTTAAATTCTAAAACTAAAAACGATAAAATACCAGAGAATATGTTAGGAAAAAACCATAATATTTTAAATATTTCGTCAAAAAAATCAAAAAACCATGATGGTATCCATAAAATTGGAATTAGTAGTAACATAAATGATACCAATAGCCGTTTTATAAAAGAACTTGATTTTGATTTTGATCAATCAATTTCTCAAACTACATTAACTGAATTGTATAACGGTGTTGAAGAAATTGTTGAAATGCATTCATTTGATAATGAAGAATTAAATTCATTGATTGAATGTGGTTCTTTAAATATTAACGTAACGGAAGAATGTCAAAATGTTACTAATTTAGATCAAGGTGATTCTTCTGTGAGCGTGAGTGATTCAACTATTGGAGCTTTTGATACCTTTGCTCAGATTACCAGAGTTTCACAAAATTCATCTAAAGAGGATAAGTCTATTAACAAAGATTCAAAGACTATTAAACAAGTTAGTAAAGATTTAGAAAGTGATGAAGGTATTACTCAGTCTGCTGATGTTGACGGTCAAAGTACAGCAACATCAGTTACTGCTATACCTATACTACAAGGTGTAATTTCAGATGTGATGAGTAAAATAGTTTCTGATCGTGATGCACCTTGTAAAGTAGTTGACTCATTAAATGAATCTACTGATGAAGTTGTTGAAATAAGTAGTGATGAAGAAGAATTATCACATATCAAAAAACAATTTCCATCTACTGCTATTGAAATTGAAAACCCGGTAAAAAAAATAATAATGCACAAATTGAATGAAGAAGAAACTAATAAAATAAATTTACTGGAGACAAACTCAGTACTTATAAATAAAAATAAAAATATTTCAAGAGAAATCAAAGAGACACCTCTGAATAGTTCGGAAATAAAAAATATTAAAAGTCATATTTCTAACATGTTAAAAAAACCTACAGCTAAAAATGTCTCAAATGCAGAAAGTGTTCTTTCTATAACAGGATTAGAATCTAAAGGTACTAAAAAAAAACACATTGCCTTGGAAAATGAAATTAATATTAGTTCTGAGGAAACAGGAAATGAAAATACATTTAAAGAACCCGAAGTGAAAAACTTGAAACTAGAAATAGCTGAAGAGAGATTGAGATGTAGGAAAGATTTAAAAATTAAAAAAGCTATAGATGAAAAACGCTTGAAAGAAATATTTGACAAAAAAATTGAGGAAGAAAATAAAATAAAAGAAGACGAAGAAAAAAAGAAAAAAGAAAATGATGAGAGGAAGAAACGAGAAGAGGAAGAAAGAAAGAAAAAAGAAGAGGAAGTCAGAAAGGAAGAACATGAGAGAAAAAGAAAAGAAGAAGAAAGAAAAAGAATAGAAGAAGAAAGAAAAAGAATAGAAGAAGAAAGAAAAAGAAAAGAAGAAGAAGAAAAAAATATAAAAAAAGAGGAAGAAAAAAAAAGAATAGAAGAAGAAAGAAAAAGAAAAGAAGAAGAAGAAACAAGAAAAAAATATGAAGAAATTAAGTTAACTGCAGCAAACATTAAACAAGAAAAATTTGACGAAATCGATGAAATGAATGAAGAAATATTACAGAAAGCAATTAATTCTGTAGAAATGAATTTTGAAGAACAATATGGACATAATTCTGGAGGAATAGTTGTCAAAGATGAATTTGAAGTTGAAATTATGCAAAGAGCTAAAAAGAGACAATTGAAAAGGGCAAAAATAACCGAGTTAATTAAAGCGAGGAATATTAAAATGAAAAAGGCAAAAGCTAAAGAATTAGAAATTGCAAAATTGAAAGAAAACGAGTTAATAATTAAAGCTAGAGAAGCTGAAGTAATAAGAGCAAAAGAACATGCAAGACAAAATGAGCATAGAAGAATTAATGAAATCAATTTGCAAAAAGCTATTGATGAAGAAATTGAGAAAGAAAAACAACAAGCCCTAACTGCTGAGATCCATAGAGCAAAAATAGCTGCAATTAAAAAAGAGAAAGAAGCTATACTAAGTAAAAAACAAGTTGAAGATCGATCTGTATTGAGACGAGATTCCATAAAGAAGGTTGATGTTGATTTGGTGGATAATTCAGATTTAAAAACAATTGAATTTGGACCTCATGAACGTCAAGTTACTAGAGCTAGGAAATTGAAAAAACTTGAATTGAAATTAGACAATTCTAAAGAAGATTCAATCAATATTAATGATCTAAATAAAACTGAGAAATTAGTACAACCAATGCTTGAGAAAAAAATGGAAATAATTGCATCAACAATTAAAGAAAACGTAACTAAACCAGCTGCTAGAATTCTAACTAGAACCAGAGGTTTAAAACACGAAGAAAAAGTTAAAGAACACAATTTTGATTCTAAGAATGTGAATGATGAAAACAAGTTAAATAATTTAGATACTTCTACTGTATTAAATGATTCGTGTGAAGGATTAATTTCTAAGGCCCAAGTTGATGGTAAAACTAGAACTCGTTCTTCTTCGTCATATAAACAAGTTGATACTGTTCCAAAAGTAACGGTAGGAATGAAGAAAAGTGTGACTGGTACTCATTCTGAAGTTTCGACCTCAAGTTCAGAAATTCAAAAATGTACTGTGGGTTCATTTTTAGAACCAAAAAATTTTAGAGCATTGACTATACCTCTAGTAAAATTAAATTCTCAAAATTTACCAATTTTAAAAGAAAAAATGGATTCCATGAAACAATCGTGTATCAAAGTGTAAGTGTAAGAATATTTATTATATTTATGTCTGAGAGTTAATTAATTAATTTTTATTTATAGTGTGACTGACGAACTACCACTTTCACAATCAGACGTTACTAATGATAAAGAAAAATTATTTCAGAAAAGTGGTCGGAAACGTCATGTTGTTGTACAAAACGAAGAGTTCCAAAGGTATATGATTTGTCAGTAATTACCTGTTATTATATAATTATGTATTTGTTACTAGTAGGTATTATAATAAATGAATTAAAAATAATTTTAGAAAATATATTAAAAATAAAATTAAGAACTAATTTATGTTTAGTAATAGTTATTTACTTAATAATGGTGTTTTGAGCAAAATTATTTGTCAACATTCTTAATTTTATTTTAATACCCCAATTGATATATTATTAATACTCCCTAATTAATATATAATATCGAAAAAAATTAACTTTTATGTAACTTGAATTTGTGTATTCAAAAACAAATTAACAGTGCTTCTAGGTGATGGGTTTTCTGTTGGTTAAAAAAAAAAAAAACCACTAAAAATGTTAAAAGTACTATTGCTTCATAATGATACCTTTGTCATGCCACTCTTATATACCGTATTATATCCTAACCTATCCTTAATAATTGAGTTGTACAATAAATTCGCCAATAGTTATTGTTACAGTTATCAACAGTGAAGACTGTATATTTTTTATAAATTTACAAATACCATGTGGTATGCAATAACATAAAATATCATTGATATTATATAAATTAGAAATTTGATTTTACTAAGGTTATATAATTCTTCTTCTTTTTTAGCTTTTATAGGCCATTAAAGGGCCATCACTGCTCCACATAGCCTCCTCCATTCCTCTCTATCATTTCCGAATTCTTCCGGGTTCTCAATCCCAAGTATCTTTAAATTTTGGTTGGGCTCGTCTATCCACCTTTTCTTCGGCCTGCCCAATGGTCTCTTGCTTTCTGATTTCCAGTTAAGCGCGTCCTTCATTATGCCTTTCGATCTTTATTTGTGTTCAAGCCATCTCATTTTCCTGCCCTTGAGTGTTTGTATAGTGTCCTCTTCTTCCAACAGGTCTTTAATTTCTTTATTGGATTTTATTTCATATTCACCCTATCATTTTTTTTTTTTTTTTTTTTGGGACTAAAAATGCGTCGTAGGAATTTTCTTTCTTAAACTGCCAGTTTTCTTTCGTCCTCTTTTGACGTTGGCCACGTTTCGCATGCGTATAGAATTACTGGTCTAACTAAAACCTTGTATAATTTCATTTTTAATTTTTTTGATATTACCTTGGACTTGAAGGTTTTCTGTAACGCGAAATAACACTTGTTTCCAGATTTTACTCTCAGGTTTATTTCCTCATGGTAACTATTGCGACTATTTAAATCCACTTCCAGATATTTGAAACATTCTACTTTTTCGAAACAATAATTTCCAATGACCAAATTTCTATTTTGGTGTAGTTGATTACCTCTTTTAACTACCATATATTTAGTTTTCCCTTCATTTATCATTAGTCCCATACTCAGCACTCTGGTTATCAGCTCCTTTATAATGGTTTTTATGTCCTCTTCATTTAATCCAATGTTATATAATTCTACTAGGGTAAAAGTCACTTCTACAAAAAATATAATCGGTGATGAAATTTTGATATGATGTGGTATGAGAGAAATAACATTTTTACTGAAATCACCTGTATATTTCAACAAATTTTCAGTTCAATTAAGAAAGGTTTGGTGTCCAATAAAAGTTACTTTTGCATAAATAATAAATATGACGAAAAATTAGACATATTTTCTCAGTCTATTGTGAAATAAGTTTAGATAATAATTATTTCTCTCACGGAAATTGGTATTTGTATTTTTCTATAGTTGATAATATTATAATTTATTAGTTTATAAGCCAAAAAATGAAACTGTTTTAAATCAAGCATTTTGGGCTTAAGTTATTTGTTAGATAACGCTATACTCAGAGTTCTATCTATAATTTAATTAATAGATTAGTATATGAACAGTCAATACTGTCCAAATTTACTTCTTGCATGAATTTTCTATAATTTTTAATTATAATTTATAAATACCTAACGTTAATATTTGTACTATAATTATTAGATCATAATATGTGTATAGAGCCATTTGTCAATAAGTATAAACAAATATTAAAATGACGACGTTTGTGAGCTTCTTTCAACCTAAAATTTTAGGTTTAGGATAAGTAGGTAATTGTTCCAATCTAAAATAATAAAATATCTTTGACGAGTCTGGATGATTCAGTTAGTGTTATACTATATATATATATATACACATATTTAAAAATTTTAAAAAATTTAATTTATGTTGGTCTTAATCTATGAATTTGAATTTTGCAGTAAAAAATCAAAATTTCAAAATGACGCAAGAACTATTAATGTATGTTTTTCCATTTTTATCAATAAAATATATTTTAATTTATAAGTAAATAAATAGCTAATTCAAAATTAATGTTTATTTTAGGTAAAATTTGCACCAACTAAAAGAACCAGGAGCCATGATCTTGCACGAAAAAAAAAAGAAGAAGACATTTTAAAGTAAGATTCAAATTTTCATATTTTGATAACACTTTATTTTATAAGCACCATGTTATTATTATGGCTGGGTTAATGCAGGTTTGATGCATATTTTTTTCTGATGTCCCAATATGTAGGTCTGTATACAGAAAATGTGTTTTAAGTGATACTGATTAATTTAATGTAGTTCTTTTTTTGCATGTTTTTTTTTTTATAAATTTAACTCCAAATGCATTCTTAGAGCATTTTTCAAGTTTTTAGAATATTTTTCAGAATTAATCGATACATTCTTAAATATTAAGATGTTGATTACGCGTTTTGGGGTCTGTTTACTCAAAATTTGCACGTTTAGTATATAATCAACTGAATTGATAAACTAACATTTACGAGCATATTGGCTTATGTATCAATTTTATCAAAAATATATCAAAATTAAAATAGTCGAAAGAAGTTTTTTCTTTATTTACAAGAGTCTAACACCAATTATAAATGCAAGTTATGAAATAAATTGAATTTAAATTAAATGTAATTATTAAATAAATAGGTACCTATTTTATTATCAAATAAATACAAATATGTTTAGTGACATGATTTTTATAATACTATTTTTAAACTATATTAAATATATTTTTGATGCTTTTTATACGATTTTTAAGCATTTTTGCATATTTTTTAGAACTTTTTTCCTTATTTTTTAGAGCATTGTAATTCCAGCCCTAGTTATTATTTTTTTACTGTATAAAAATTTGTTTTACCATTGTTTTTATTTTTCATCTATTATATGCAAATTTTCATATAAATCTGCTAATTGGTAAAACGTTAATAATAGCATATAAACATTATTAAGTAAATTAATATAAATTTATCAACAGTGATCTCATAAAAATATTTACAATTTAGTTTTATTATTAACTGCTTAATTTTTTTCATTCACACTCATCAATATATGTCGCAAAAAAAAAAAGTTATATTTGAAAAAAATATCCTGGCTCACTAGTGTTTTTTTTTTTTTTGACTATCTATTCTTTTTCATTGAAACTAAAGAAATTATAACATTTTTATTTAATATGTAATGCATATTAAAAAAATTTAACATTTTTTTGATATTTTTGTTTATCCCCATGCTAAAAACGGCGCACTCTCTAACATATTTGTATAATTAGTATTAAAGATTTGTTTAACTTTTATTTGCTTTAATATATAAGTATATAAGTGCTATAGTGTATACCTATATTAATTCAAAATATATTTTAGTATCAAACGTTTTGCAAACACATTATTAAAAAAGAGCGTTCTAAGGGCCATTATGACAGACATACAGAAGAAGAGTTTGTACATTTCATCATGTAAAAACCAGGCCAAGGAATTATATTTAGAAGAACAAATGGTTATTAAACGGTAAGCAATGTGTAATTTTATTTTGATTGTATTATTATATTTTATTATTACTTATGTAACAGGCCACTCAATTTAAAATCTATCAGAAACAAAATAAATATTGGTTTAATTCAATCAATAGGAGATTTACAGAGATATTTTTTGATTATGTCACAGAATAACGCTATGGTAAATAATACAGGTTCTATAATTTATTGTGACACTATAGAATTTCAAGAAAATCTTAAATCAAATATGAATGTAAGTTCAATATATAATAATATAACATAAATTATCTAGGTTTTTAATATTTTTGTTTCATCTGTATTTAGTTCTATCACTATGCATTTTCAACTAATGGCGGATTATCAGAAAAGAAGAATGATGAAGATGATAAAAATAATATTGATGACGATGATGAAAATAATACTGACGACGATGATGAGGACTATATCAATGTTAATTATAACATTGATGATGATCATTTTATAATAGAAGATAGTGAAAATATTGGTTTAAATGAAATTAATTGTGAAGAAACAGTTGATTGCATAATGAAAACTATAGATTTTAGTACGGATGAATCCTCTAGTGATTCTGAATCTGATAGTTATTTATCAGTACGCAAGAAAAGAAGAAAAATTGACCAGTCTTATGTCAATACTTCAGATTCTAATATAGATAGTGATGATTATGAATCTGATGTCTAAGTGAATTGTAATTATAATTAAATTTGGAATATATATGATTATAATTTCTAAGACTGCTACAATATGTTTTTTTTCTTTTATATTTTGAGTTTTAAAAAACATTAACTATATATATAATATATATATTCTTTTTAATCAAGTTCGGTAAGTTTTAGTTAAGTCAGTTTCAAGATAAAACTATATTTCAATACTGAATTGACTTTTAATAGATATTCACTTGTACATTTTTAATGTTCTATTTCCTTTACTATTATTTTAATTAAATCATATTTCAGCAGTCATAGACTTGGAATTCTCCTGTTTTACTACTGATTTTATTAATTTATTTATATTTTATATGTTTTAGGATATTTAAAAATTCCAAATTTAGGGATTGTTCCTAAATTGTATCAGAAATGTGACATACTAACTATGTGGAAGTGATTAGCATATTATTATTTGTCATAATTTTTTCTATGTTGTTAAGGTAATTAAACTACAATTATGTATATTTCATGATGAAGTTTGTTACCTTATAAAATATTATGTAATATAAATTTATACATATTTAAATTGCACCTTTTTAATGAGTAATTTATTAGATCCAGTACTATTAAAATCTAATAATAAAAATTCATAAAAGAAAACTATATCAATTTTTATTTTTAATATTTTAGGTATAATTTACGAGCTTTCTCAAATTATAAGACATTTGTTTTGATAATGGTGTTTAGTATGTACGTAGTAAACTTTGATTAAGTGATGTTAAGTTTAAAGTGATTAAACTAGTAAATCAGGTGTTTGCTTTGTTGCGAGTTGTAACCTCAAATATTAACTATATTAGTTTTTAATATGTTTTTGCAGGTTGTTTGGTTTTTTTTTTTAAGTATATATTTTTATAATTCAATTTTGTATTTTCTACATCTATATTTTGTTGAAAAAAATTCACATGATAATAAAAAGTGTTACAAGTAGTTTAAACCACCGAATCATATTGATTTTGATGTTTTCACTTGCTTCAAAATTTTAATTTATAAAACAAATTTCTTTAATCATACCGTATAAATTATATATCATTCCATGAGTGTTACAGTTTAGGTATTGAAATACAATATTAAAAGTTACATTAAAAATTAATAGAAGTACCAATGTTCTATAAATATTCAGGATCTAATTTTTATAAGTATTTTCTTTAGTGATTATCGTCAATAAGTCAATAATAGTATTAACCAGTGAAATGGGAAGATTAAAACTCGAGCAGTGATTTAACATATAAAATAATCATTGTTTTAATTTTGATTATGTTTCATGAGTATTTCTTTTATTTTTTTGCTTTTTATTTACTCATTTTAAGCTGTATGTTATATTAATGTACTACATTAATTTATGTTTGTATATAATATATAAATAGATGTAAGATTCTGGTTAAGCTTGAGCTAACATTTTAATTAGGAACCATAGATATTTAAAACTACTATTTTTTTTAGATTCTGAGTGAAGTGTGGAATGTATTTTATATTATATCGGTGGGAAATGATTATGTATAAATACAATGTATAACCTAGAGTAATTCAAAATGTTTTAAATCACTTTTATTGTTATTTAATTACATTTATGATTGGTTTTAATATTAGTTATTAATGTTAATACTAAAATTTTATGCAAATTTATGAACATGGAGGTAAAATTAATTCAATTTTTTTACTCAATCTATTTTCTGATTAAATTAGAGTTTGTAGCTATTTTATTAGCCATATTAGTTTGAGTTTATCAGAATAGATGAATTATTGGTTTGAGGTTGTTAAATTAATGATAAATTGGAGTTTATAATTAATACTTGCGTTTTCATAGTTTTCTTACTGTATTATTGATTATATTGTTTAATTAACCACAAATTGTTGTTGGTTAAGAAAATAATCTCCCTCTTACCTTTAATTATTTGAGTCTCCAAAATAATACATTTTTCAAGTGTAAACCATACCTGTAATACGTTTTGTTATCCCTGTACTAATTTATCATTAAAAATAATGTAATACAATGTGAGTCTTTATATATAAGAAAACAATATTTTTAAGTAGCTACCAAGATTCTAGATGTTCTTTCTTTTTTTATAAAATATTTTACTAGTTAATGATTACTTGTATGTTATATACAATATTTTAGACACATTTTGATAGATATTGATCTAAGACAAATATTTTATAGGGATACAAGGTAATAGAGTGTAAGGTAGTAAGTGACCTCTGTTGCATTGGATTTTTCAATGTAAAAATATCTACAATATTTTTAAGAAATTGGTTTCATTAGTTCATGTAGACAAGAAAAAGGGATTTTTCTATTATACATAATCTGTTTGCATTTTTTTTTTTTACATTGAAACAAACAATATTTATTACCTATATAAAGTAGGACTTAGCTTTGATTGCTGTGAAACAATCAATATTAATCTTCTGTATTGAATAGTGAGTTAATTTGGCAATAATTTTAAAATGCTGTCTTATATTTATTTTTATAATTTGATGAACTATTTTTGGCTGCTACTTTTTATTTGATTTAGTCCTTAGACTGTGTTGTTAAGCTGCTTGGAATGTATTTTTTCTTGTAATTTATTTATTTTATTTATTTTTTAATGTATCATTAAAGTAACTTATCATTATATCATTATTTTGTCTTAACTCTAAACAAATACATATTGTGTATTTGTGACATGTGTATGCATCTATGTATTCATATATTTGTACACAAAAATAAAAAAAATTGCCAAACATTTTAATTAAAACTTGATGTTGTAAAAAATTATATTAACAATAGAAAACCTATTATAAAGTAAGAGATTATTTTTTACTAGTAATTGTATTATTATATAAATATTTGTATTTTTTTTAAATCTTTTCATAACTTTTAATAATGGAGAACGCTTATATTTTGTACTATTGACTTTAAATGTTACTTCATTAAAATAGTGTTAACAATATATTAAAAAAGGCAATTATTTGTGTTTAATGTCTGTAGTAATTGAAAATATGGATTTGATTTAACAATTTTCAGCTATTGGGGCGAAATTCACATTGCTATTACTGAATATTCTACAATGATTAATTAAAATAAATGTACAGTCCTGTATAAAATCAAATAAATATTGATTCATAATTCCAAACTAGTTGTACCTATATTTATTAATATCAAATTACAGAAATTTAATTTTTAATTTAGATATTATTTAAATCAAATTAGTTTTTTTTTTAGTTTCACTTTTATGTTACTTTAGATGAATTTAAATACAAATATGTTTATCGATATAACATATGTATGGGTGTGTGTGTGTGTATTAATATTTTTATTATATTACTCCGTTAAGTTTATACATTGGAGTGGAATATATTGATTTATTATACACAGTGCTCGAAATGGAAAATTTTCTGAACCGGAACGCTTTTTTTTTGAGTACATATCATAGAATTGGAGGCTTCACCCAACTAAAATTAAAATTTCTTCTTCCTCAAATACTAACCCTTTTTTAATAATATATAAGTTTTATCTACTATTTTATGAAACTCACTTTAAAATTTCAGCCCTTTTAAAAATTTAAATATATTTTTATCTTCTTTTACTTACTTACGAATATGTATGTATATATTATATAAAATAAAAATATGAATATAAAATGTTTAAAGAATTACTTATAATTTATAAACTTATTTTTATTTAAATTTTATATTTATAACTCAAAAAGTACAGCATCAATACAATTTTTTTTACAATAACTTCCACAATGATTCATATGTCTTATCACACTTTTGGTTTCTTTTACGACTTGCGGTATTATCAGCTGAATGTCGACCATTCAATAACCAAGATCGAACGTATTTTTCTGGTTCGAATTTCGTTAGAGGTGGTCCAACACAATTAATAAATAAAAGAGCAGCAACAGTTTTTATATTTAATGAAGTTCTTAGTGGTGACATGATTTCGTTCATAGAACTAAAATTTCGTTCACTTTCGCTAGTCGATACTGGAATCGTTGCAATTGATTTATAAAGGGGTTTCAAATCTTCTGGAATTTCCTTTTTGCCCAAGTCCATTTTATAAATTCTAAAACTTTGAATAGTGCTCTTTTCATCAATTTGAAATTGTTGACATAAATTACGAATATTACAGTCACCAAATTGTATGTTTTCTATTTGGCCATCATTCGAAAGAGGCCAATTTTTTGGATTCAATTTTTCAATATTATCAAGTAAGTTTTTAAACGTTTTTTCATTGTCTTGGCGATGTTTTTCATTACGACTGACATTTGATAAACTGGAAGTCATCATTCGAGATTTTAAATTATTAGCTAGGCTTTTTTAAAATTGTGCAGAATTTATTTTAGGAACATTGCCACTATGTAATATTACATTTTTATACGACATTTCGTTCTTTATTTCTTTTAATGCGTTAGTTAATTTTGGACCTGGATCGGTTGCCATAGAATCTAATACACGTATTGTTGTTCTTATAGATTTATCAGCGTCTACTAATGTAATACTACATTTTTGTAAATATTCTGATAAATCTCCTAATTCGTCTAAAGCATCAGACATGGTATTTAAATTACTAACAAATTCTATATTTGTTATCATTTTAAACAATCCACAGTATTTACTTCTTTCTTTAGAGTCTCTGGTAGAGTCCATTGACGCCAAGTTGAAATGTTCACACAAAGTAGAAAAATTATTTATGACTGCATTAACTGTCCGTTTGCTTGATGCTACCCATCGAACTGACAAAATTCTACCAATTTTCAAAATTTGTACTTCTAATGAACTAGCAGCTTTTTTTAACTCGTTTTGGTTTTTAGGTGACTGATGGAATATAGTATAAAGTTTATCAATAAATATTTTAAAATAGTTTATACCACAAACTTCGCTAATAACATCACCTAATGCCAATTCCAAACGGTGATTTGAACAATGCCAAATAATTAATTTAGGAAATTGAATTTTAAGTCGCGTGGCTACTCCCGAATCTTTTCCGATCATAACAGAAGCTCCGTCACATGCAAAAGCAATAAAACATTCATTTAAAAAAATTTGATCAAATCCGTGTCCACCCAAACAATCAAGTAATGATTTAGTAATAGTTTCAGCAGAGGTATTAGGGAGTTCAATTAAGTCAAGATTAAAAGTATAAGGTTCACCGGGAAAATCTTCAATAAATGCACGAACAACAACTACTAATGTTGTTAATTTACTAAGAGTAGTTGATTCGTCGATTAAAATAGATATATTTGTTTTAGTTAAAATTATATTTTGGCAAATAATTTTTTTCATCTCTGATGCAATGTGGAGTGCTATATCCGCACACGTTTTATCGGAATGTAAAATGTTTCCCATATTTATACCATTTAAAACTTGTAAATCTATTTCATTTGGTAAATCAACAAAAGGCCTTTGAGTTTTTACAATTTTATAAACAGTTATAAAAACTTTTTCAGTAGTAGAGAACTTTGATTTCAATGCATTTTCGAAACTTTTTTCTATTTGTTTTTCTTTTGATTGTTCATGTAATTCTACTGCTCTAAGATGAGCGTCATATTTTTTGTGTTCAAATATTTTTTTTCTCAAACTAGACATTTGACTTTCCATTCGAAATTATAGAACAGTCTTGCTAAGGTTTGGAAAAGCGAAGAGTTTTATCAACAACAGATAATCCTAAATTTGTTATATTTTTACAAATCAAACAACCTAATGCTTTATTTTTAACTACTAGCCACTCATTTACAGTCATGAAATGTTCGTGCTGACCTTTATTCCAACATTCGGGCAAATCACTAGTTTCGTGAAGTTCCATATTTTTATTTGATTCTTTATTAGATGATGTATGTTCACTTTCAACGCACAGTTTTTTATTTGTCGAATTATCACATTCATCATTGGACTTAGAACGTTTATTTACCCAATTTAGTATAGAAGAACTCATATTTTTCGCACGGAATAATATATGCTATAAACTAATGTAATTAATGATAAGCAAAATATAATACATGTATTACTGCAGCTTAAATGATACTAAAAGCTAATCAAAACATACGGGTATCAATATGATCACATGTTTTGCTGCCACTCAGAAAAATCAAAACTTTTACGTTTGATAAAGAATTTCCGGCTAACTTGCGGGAACGTATGTACAAAACTGCAGGCACGTGGGGATGTCAAACCGTCGTATGGTGCCGTTCCATAGTATTTCTTATCGTACGTTAAAAATACACATAGGTGCGTATCGTGTGAATATAGACAATAACTACACTATCGGCGGACAACGATTATCTAAAGATAAGCAATAAATTTACTAATGCGTTGCGGTCGTTTGTCGTTTATTAAATATTTTACAATGCACAATTCTGCAAAATGTTTAAATTTTACAGAAATATGGTAGGTACAGTAAAAATTTGTTTGAACCGGAACGATAAACGGTTTTTTTTTTACGAACTGGAACGCTAAAAATTTTTTTGTCTTGAACCGGAACTGCGTTCCGGTGCGTTCCGGTCCATTTCGAGCCCTGATTATACAATTATGATTTTTGGTAACTTCACACTTAGGTCTTAGGTCATCCAAGTATAAATGCTGTAACTTATTATTGTTTATTAAGGTTGGTTGGCTATATATTCAACTAGCTGACCCGACAAACGTTGTTTTGTCATATAAATTATTTCTAGAGAATATTTTGCTAGAAAAAAATAACTAATTAAATATAGGCATGTAAGAATGTGGGTAAGTATAAGGATGTAAGGAAGATATATGGCGTGCTATGAATGGTAGCGAAATATAAAAATGAAAAAACATCAAACATTTATTTTTTTAATAATTTATTAAAATTGATCCATTGAAATAATATATATCGCTAATTATGACAATATAAGTAAAAAACAATATCTATCCCTTAATGCAACAGAGTGTACAATATTTTTTGTAATCCCATCTTTCGCAAACACAAACTGGATGGCTCGAGAGCACACCACGTATAATTATCCGTGTGAAAAATATGATGTGCTCAAATCTAAGCTACAGACATTGTTTGGCTTTGAAACTTATTGATAGTCATTGCAAATGCCAATCTAATTGGAAATTTAAAGCGTTTAAATTGTATTGGCACATCTGTGGGTATAATAGAGATTCGTGGTAATAATATATTTTCACCTCGGAATTTGCCATTTAAAATTATGGCTTCGATAACATTTTTCATTAATTTTTTAACAACTTATCGCGTGTCGTTGTACAACCGTGGTAGGTCAAATTATGAAGCAAAATAACCGAAGAACAAACCTTCAATTGTAAATTATGCGGTGGCATGCCTGGTAAGTCCAATGAGTTTAAAAACTCTGTTAGATAATTTACAGCTTCAGTAGCATAGCAAACTATATCTATAGATTTGTATGACACCATGTCTCCTGGTAATAAATGTTTATCTTGAGATTCAATTCGTTGACGTCCACATTTTTTACTACTAAAATTGCCCTTTCTGCCAGCCACTCATGATTTATGTATTGTTTGTGTACATTGGAAAATATCTAGTCAATGAGAGCATCTTGCGAATAAATGATTGTGCAGAAATCGGTCGGTAATTTTATACATTCCGTTTTATCTGTAGTAACTTTCCCATCTCCAATATCTAACAATTGTTTTGAGAATCTTCTGCACGCAGCTTTTTTTGATTAAATCGCAAGTATCAAAATCGTTCGCTCTCTGTATTTACATACATTTCGACCATGAATTGTTGACGAAGCTCATGATATCGTAGAATAATTTTGTCTTGATCTTTAATCATTTATTATTTATTATTATCTTTAATCGTTTAATCATCAACCGATATGCATAATAATTTTTCGAACTAACATTCTGATTTGTTTTGACACCTGTTGCGGGATCTTTTTTTGTTTAATATTTATGCAATAACCGTCATTTACTACCAAAAATAAAATGAATAGTTTTTAAATAGTTTTTTTTTATAGTTTTTTAATAGTTTTTTAATAGTTTTATTTAATAATTCATTTTCAATTGTGCAGTTATCGACCGGGTCAAAAAGGGCTATTTTTAGGGTTTTTCCAGCAATAATTCTAATTTTTCTCGCCGTAAAAACCATCCTTGAACTTCAACGAACATTTGAAAAAAAGATTTGGCCAAATTGGTCCAGGCGTTGTTGAGTTATGCGCTTACCAACACATTTTGCGATTCATTTTTATATATTCAATAATTTTCAACTGTTATTATTTTGATTGTTAGTATGATGATTTAGTGAAAAAAATTATTTCATTCTATTAACTTAATTGTATTACTTCTCTGAAAATGTTATTTTATTTTATTCCACTGTTTAACCATTGCACGATACAATTTTATCTATTTTATATTTGTATTTATTATCTGTACCTATTAACCTGACAGTATTTCGTATAAAAATATGAATATATATATTGGTAAACACTGGTAAATTTGAAGAGCATCTGTTCGAAGTATGTTATAATATAGTGGTGTGTATAATGTTAGGCGATGTGTCGAAAGTCCGGTAAACAGAAAAAGTCTCCGATAAAAGAGTCCCCGGACCCCCCCCCCCCCCCCGTTAATTTCAACCTGAGTAATTTACGAAATAAACGTTACAATATAATATTTTTACTTTATCTAATAGGTATGGGTTGTGTATACCGTACTAATCTGAACAAATGATTATACGCGTCTATCAAATAACTAGTAGAATAGGAACTGATGATGATTTAAGTATTCGGTTTCGTTGACTTCCTCAATTCCCGTCTCCAATGTGAAATGTACACCAAATTACTTTACTAAATAGTAGTAAAACCAATAACGTGTGTGAAAAGTAGAATAATAGGTTAATTAGTTATTTAGTTGGGCATAATAATCCATCAATTTGGAAATTATTGAAATATATGATAAACGAAGTGGTAATAAAATGAAATTAACATTGAGTAATATTGGGCAATCAACTTATAAGCGACAACCTAAAAGACATACAGTGGAGCCTGGATAGTCCGGACCCCCGATAATCCGGTGAACGCGGTAATCCGGACGGCAAAATTCCATTTGTTCGTAAATAGATTTTACGAGAATTCCCGGAACCCAATTAATCTATGCATAAGATATTGTTATCGACAAATACAATTTCGTCATTTTTATTATCTACTGTTCCTAGTAAAGACTAATATGTACATATGTAGGTAATAAATCGATGCCCGATGATCAGTTCGTTTACTTCTTTCTTGTCGAGGGGTTATTATTCTTGTTTGTTCAATGGCTCCTCGTAAACACGTAACTTTGACTTTAGATCAAAAAATTGAAATAATTAAGCTAATGGAAAATGGCCAGAACTATGGTATGATTGCTGAGAAATACGGAATAGGTAAATCGACTGTTGGTGACATAAAAAAAAATAAAGAGAAAATTATGAAGTTTGTCAGCACAACTGAACGTGGTCCAGGCACACGTAAAACTTTAAAAGAACCGGAAAATCTTATTCTCAAAAGTGCTTTATTTATATGGTTTATGCAACAGCAGAGACGACATATTCCGATAAGTGGTGAAATAATTTGCGAAAAAGCACGTTTATTTCACCGTAAAATAACAAAGCAGGAAGATGGTTTCACTGCTAGTAGAGATTGGCTAGACAAATTTAAACATCGTCATGGTATTAGGCGCCTTAAAATAACGGGTGAGAAACTTTCATGTGACGAAGCATCAATCGAACCATTTCGAAATGAGTTACTGCGAGTCAAAAATGAAAACAATTTGGACCTAGAACAAATTTATAACGCTGATGAATCCGGTTTATTCTGGCGAATGTTACCAGAGCATACATTAACATCAAGTCATGAGAAAAACGCCCCTGGAAGAAAAATGATTAAAGCTAGAATAACATTCATGCCTTGTGCTGATGCAAGTGGAACACATAAATTGCCTTTACTCGTCATTGGTACTGCACAAAAACCACGTGCGTTTAAATCAGTTAACCTTCCCGTATACTATCGTGGACAAAAAAAATGCTTGGGCCACTTTTTTTTATTTTTAGACTGGTTTCAAAAACAATTTGTTCCTGTAGTTCGTGAGCACCTTTTAAATGTAAATTTACCTCCAAAAGCTTTATTGTTGTTGGATAATTGCCCTGGACATCCATCAGCAGAAGAATTACGTAGTGATGATGGCAACATTTTTGCAATGTTTTTACCCCCTAATACTACAGCGCTTATTCAACCGATGGATCAAAATGTAATTCAGAATATTAAATTAAACTATCGTAAGTCTCTCTTAGTCAATGTTCTTGCTGATCCGGTGCATGGTGAAAACCTTATTGATGCTCTAAAGGCCATAAATTTAAAAGACGCAGTTTTTAGTCTTGCATATTGTTGGAAATTGGTCCCGCCAATGCTCTTAAAAAAAATCGTGGAAAAACTTGCTTCCTTTCCAAACAGAAAATAAAATCGACGGAAGTTGTTGAAATTAATGACATTCAACTTTCTACACTCATAAACCAGATACAGGAAATATGTACGAATAAAATATCTGATTCTCAAGCACAGGAATGGGCTTGCCGTGGCGCAGACGAAGATTTAGCGAATCATGAAATCTTAACTGATGATCAAATTCTACAAATTGCAGCAAAAGAGGATATTGACGACGAGGATGAAAGTGGCTCAATCAGTATAAGTAAAGTTTCTCCTTCAGAAGCTGTGAATGCACTGAATACTGTATTGCAATGGGCGGAAGATGAGAACATGGATAGCACTGATATTTTGTTGGTACGTCGATTCAGAGAACTCGCTTTTGAAATGAAAATTAAAAGTACTATTCAGAAAAAAATTACCGATTATTATACTTAAATTCTACATATTATAAACATTTTTTTTTTTTTTTGTAATTCATTAGTTTAGTTTTAAATTAAGTTGTTTGTTATTCTTATAATTTAAAATGCAATAAATATAAAGATGGTGAAATTAAAAATAAAATCTTAGTCATTTGAGTTGGTAATCTTGAGAAACCTCTGGTAATCCGGAAAAAATCGGTAATCCGGACGATGCTCGGTCTGAATTCGTCCGGACTATCGAGGCACTACTGTATATAATTTAATGGGGGAGAATTGAATGTTGATTTGTTCTTAACAAATATTGGGTATAATATAGTGAAATCTGATTAAATTTGTAATAAGTGTATTTGTTTGAATTATTATTTCTGACTATTATTTATAATATATTGTTCAAAGTATTTATATATTTTTGATTCATACTTAAAAAAAATGCTTATATTTGAATTTTTATTTTTATTTTATTTTATATATTTTTGTTAGAGTAATTTATGGGTGGTTTCTTTTATCAATTATTTTTTATCTACCTACAAATAATATATCGATAATTACATTTAAAGCTATATTATTGTTATGGTAGGTATTATAATTTTTTCTGGCATTCGATCGCCCCCCCCCCTCCATCATTAATTTATTTTTGATTTTTTTAGAAGTTTTTTTAGCCGATTGCTAATGTTATAATCATAGGCGGACATTTGGTTGAATTTTTGGGGGGGTTATAATAATTCAATGTAAAATAACCCGCAGGGGCTTCGTCCCCACACCCCTTCCCATACATAAGTAAAACTTATTACTATTAAAAATATAGATATATTTAAATTGTATTAAAAAAACTCTAAATAACGTATATTTAAAAATAATTAATAATTTATTTTAATGACAAATAACTATTTGTATTAGCAAAGATACTCAAAATATCATCGCTTTCTATATTTTTCGATATATATTTTTCAATACCTATATAGTATTGAGGGATTGCTGAATCTATCTTGAACCAACAATGTCCTTAACCAAATTTTTATTTTTTTCATTGCACTGAAACTTCTTTCGCAAATAGCCAAACTATGTAATTGGTTAATGCTATTGTAAATAGTTTTTCATTATTTCTTATTTTACGATTTTCAAAAAAAATTAACAGATAATTATAAATAAATTATAAAAACAACAAATAAAATGTCTAACAAAGTTTCGATTTTGGGGGATGCTATTAAAATATTTAGGGGGTCTAAGCTTCCCCCCCCCCCCAAATCCCCTGATATCTGCCTATGGTTATAATGTGGTTTTACCTGTTAACTGTTGAAATGGTTTTCATAATTCACTAGTTATTGGTCATTTTTTATCAACGTTTCCAAATGTTAGGTAATGATAATGATATAATATGCCATTGTTATCTTATTTTGGCCTATAAATGATAATAATATAATCATCCATGTATTAATAACCTTTTATGCTGACATCTCAGATATATATATATATATATATATTTTATATATCTCGTTGACTTCATCATACTTTTTTCTTGGCTGTTATCAGAAAAGTTCACTTGCAGTGTTTACTTTTTAATATAATTCTATTTCATTCCTCTGAATTGTGAATTATTTGTTTAAACTTTAAATTGTCAAATGAAAATTTATTATTATTATGAGTAGGATAAATTAATATTTTACCTAATAGATTTACCAACGGAAAAAAAAGAAGTAGGTTGCATTATTAAAATATTGTAATATTTTTTTGTAATATTTCTGTTTTAAAAATAAATATAAATATTTACAACTTGTAGTAAAATTCTTAATTTTATGTTTTCAGAATTATAATTAAATAAACCAATATTAAATTAATTTTAAATGTAATATTTCTAATTATTAATTGTTAATTTATAGTGTTGAGAGGAAACTTCTGCGTTATTTTATGGTTTTAAACTCCTCCCCTCCCCTTGAATGAGCTGAGTAACTGTTATAAGTTTATCATATTTAATGTAGGTTATAACTTATATCCTACATAAGATATGATATCTGATTACAGTTTATTTAACAGGAATGCATAATGTAATAGTATATTAATCATATTTTTTCTGCTGCACAATAAAATCGATATGTTTTATACATAATGTGGTTGATTATCAAGATCAGTTGGAACATAGACGCTGTTGTCGAAGTGCTATAACCAAACAACGTGGTTTTAACATTTAAAATATGAGACGGAAAGTAATTTTTTATAACTAGACGAACTCGTATTTCATAAGTCGTTTGATTTTTAAATAGATTTATTTAAATTATTTTTCGATTATTCATAGCTTACGTTTTTAGGTTCAAGTATTCATTATGCGTGGAGGTTATGTAGGTTGGGTGGAGGTTAGGGAAGTATTAGTGGTATATTATTTGTTATACTTTATTTTCTATAACATAATTTAAAAAATAACACTTGCATTATCATTTAATTGGAAAGCAATTATTAAAATACGATTCTTTTTGTATGATAATTGTTAATGACAAAGTGTAGGTATACCATCTAAATCTAATACATAAACACGATTAATTTATGTGTATTAATATAGTACAGTTATAAACTAAAATATGAATATTAATTGTTGTATCATCGTGTTCTATAATTATTGTACAATTAATAGTTTTCGGATACTTTATTCCGAACAGGTTATTATTGTACAAATTTTCGGACACGTTATGTTTCTACTACAGTTATGGTAACCTGTATTTTAAGACCGACAATGGGATAATATTAATATTTATCATTGTTATGAATGTCTTATGGTCATTGTGAGAGTAAACCGTTTATCGCTCGCCTTTAAATTGAAATAGGTAGGATCTGTATTTAACTGTAAATTTATAACATTTGGCTTTAATACTTACGTGTGATATTTTTGTTAAGTTTAGTGTTAATTTTTTATTGTAATTTTTTTTTTTTACAAATAAGCGTTATTTACCTATATAATATTTATATTTTTTATGAAGTACAATTATTGACCGCATAAATGAAAATATTATATTATAATACAATATGATACTGTGAATCGTACGTTTTTCTTTGCATTACATAATCATATTTCTTAAAACGTTTATTGGTTTTTCAAGTAAAGTATTTGTGACCTATAAAATTGTATTTGTATTATATCGAATGGAATCTAAGGATAGTTTATGTAGCCTAGTAGACACTTTACAATTGAAAATGGAGTATGTTATAATCAATATTAGCCAGAGGCGTTTTTAGTATTTTTTATTAGGGGGGGATATTAAAATTGAAGGTAAGCAAGTCACTAATTGTGTAAACAATTTTAATTAAATGATTGTATATCCATATTAAGTTAATCTTAAAATTTAAATGGATCTCATTTAGTCAATTTTGATTTTAGAGTCATGGTTAATTGATCAAAAAGACTTAAAAATATACAGCCCACCCGAATTTGATATAAAAAATACCGGTTGCTATTAAAAAAAAACAATAAGTTGCATTGTGGATGCGCGTACTGAGAGGGTTAACAATTTTAACCAACAATTTCTGAAAATGTGTATTTATTTCCGGCCGAGAAATTCAGTGTTCTCTAAATTGGTGAACATACGGTACATATTTTCGGCGGAGTCGATATATAAAAACATTCGGCGCAATAAATAGCCGGTGCAATCGATAGCTTAAGTTTTTACGAGTAAAAAGATCTTTTTGGCGGAGTCGAATACGCCCGTCAGGCCATGCATTGTCGCGTCGTCCGATGATAATATTATAAACAAGGCTCGAAACTTTATGCTCTAAAAAGTACTAAAATATGCGCATACATATGCGTTAAAAACATCAAAATATGCGGTATAATATGCAGTAAAAAATTGGAAAATAATTGCTTAAATAATAATAAACTGACTACTGACTAGTGTACACTGTACAATGAAGTCGCTTGCATGCAGATGTATGCAGTATTATAATGAATAGAAATAATATTGTGTATAAGCTGATAACCTAATGGTTAAACATAATTTTTTACGAATTACCTATGGTTATACAATTTGTTTGTCATGTTACAAAATATTAATATAGTGGTAAATTTATATAAAAATAAATAGGTACTGGCCAGTGGTGGTCACTATTACGAGTTCTCGGTACTATAAAGATTATAATATTATTGTTAAATGCATTGAGAGCCGGAGCAATATAAATAATAGCCGTTGATGAATTAATTTATTTTGCCAAATGATATAAGACTTAGAATTTTGGTTGTCATATATCTAATATTTTATTACTAAACTATACATTTTTTTAAAAAATTTTGTTAAATCCATGAAATATGCATATAAATGTTCTTAAACTCAAAATATGCGAATTGGTACAAAAAGTAACAAATTATACAAAATTATGCAACAACAATTTTTATATCTGAAATATACATACTATGAATCGAATTTGTATCGAATCAGAATTTCAATATGCACTTTCTAGACAAATATGCAAATGCCTAAAGTTCCGAGCCTTGATTATAACGATAACGAATAATTGTATAGAACACGCATGTGAACGTTTATTTTTTGTAATGAGACGAATAAAAAATTGGACTAGAAATACCATGGCAAACGTTAGGTTCACAAACTTATCAATTCTTCATATTGAAAGAGATTTATCATATGCAATAGAATCGGAAAATATATTAAATATTTTTGTAGAAAAACACCGACGTCTTAGTTTAATTTAATAACTCAAAATTAATTGTTTTTTTTTTTTTTTTTTTTTTTTATGTATTTTAAAATAAAACGTTAGGTAAAGAATGAGACACCTATACATTTTTTTTCTTGGAAATGTTCTCTTTCGCTTTAATTCAAACTAAAGATAAGAAATTTTTGGAATACATTTTTCTGATCCTATAATATAATAGCCCTCATAGATAATAATACACAAAGCTACGCCCATGATGATTGTCTATCAAATATAACGGCATGTTGAAAATTGTAAGTCAGTCTTATTTCTTTAAACTACTCGTTAATCGTAAATTGTATTGTGTTAGTGTACAAGTCCACGTATTAGAGAACAGTGATGAAGATAATACAAATGAGTGGTTGCTTGTGGACAAAAATCATCTCTAGGATACTTACCACATACTTTTAAATGATAAAGTAGCTCATAAATTAGGTGGAAAGGGTGATACTGAATGAGAGGAAAATTAACTGACGATGGTTTGACTGAAGGCGAGTACGGGTCGTCTCATTCTGGAGCTTATTATCCGAATATTTGGTTATCCCGGTACACCGTTGAGAATAATTATTCTGTACAATCGGAGTTCTACTGTAGTAAGATCTATGATTCCCAGAAATCGTTATCCCGTGGTAAAGTTTTATCCATAAGTAATTTAATATATATATTTAAGGCTCTGTTAAACAAAACGCGTTATTAACGCGAGTGAAAACGTTATTACCGTCGCGTTGTATTCAATTCCAAGTCATATTGAATGTCAAATATATGTTGTCGACGTGATTAACGCGACGATAAAACAGAGGCGGGTTTTATCACTAACCAAGGGAGGGGCTAATAAAGATTTAAGAATTTAGTTAGTTGGTTTTTTAAATCTATATAAGATTTTAAATTATAGAATATGTTTTTGAGTCCCTCATAAGTAAGTCATTTTTTTCACAATGATGTCAAAGTTTAAATAGTTACAATATTGGTATCAATTTTAATCTGAAAGCATTTTAAAATATAGGTAAATACCAGTGACGTGCAGTCAGGGCAAGCGAGGTAAGCGGTGCATGTTCAGATTAAAGTAAAAAGAAAGGGAAAAAAAGAGTACTAATTGGTTATTTTTAATAATATAAAATGTCATTGCTAATGATTTAATCAGAAGAATTTACAAATACAATAATTACAAACAATAATATAATTTGTAAAAAAAAATTAAGAAAATATTTTATTGTATAGGCAACTTAATATACATAAGTAAGCTCTCAGTTTTTCCAGACTCGACCTATGTTGTAGTATTAGAACGACTGGGTGTGGTAGATGGGGGGGGGGGGGAGGTTACGACGATTTTACATGGTCCTCGAAAGCGCTCGGCAAAACACTTCTGACTGGATTTGATTAGCCACCACCACCGTCACATTATATCAGCGCGTTCTTGACTATGGCATATTCCATGGTAGTCGGCAGAACCGGCCATCGATGGACGCTTTCATTCTTATTAATTCTTATCGAAAAACCCAAATCAGAATCTAAAAACCACAAATATTAAGGATTCATCTGATTTAAATGTTACCAAAAATTTTACTTGTAAATTTTGAGCCTGAATTAAAGAAAAAAAATTGATTCCCCCCCCCCCCCCTAGAAGTTAGTTTAAATACACCCCTGATTTTAGGTAAGTAGATATGCTTATTTTAGCGCTTGCCCATAATGTTTTACCACCGTACGCCACTGATAAATACATATAATTAACAACAAAAGTAAGCTATTTATTTATAAAAAAAATATATAAAATAGGTACTATATTCATCAATGACCATCCATTGACGATATTTTATTATAATTATTAATATATAATAATACTTTGCTTTGTAAAATTAGCTTAGCTTAGCCCCAAGGGGTGGGGGTCAATGCCCCCTTAGCCATCCTCTTAAACCAGCCGGCGCGATAGAACGCGACGTTGTACAAAATCACAAAATCACGCGCGACAGTGCGTTATTTTTGGCGTTCAGATAATGGCGAAAGAAGGAATACCTATAATACATAAATACGAGTATAAATAAATATTAATAATAAATAATTCGCTACCTCTTTTGTTGACCTTCGGTTAATGCGCATGAAAGTAAAAGTTCTTCTTCGTCTGAACTAGCGGACGTATTTTCAATATAAACCACACACCTCGAGAACTTACGAACAATACGAGAAAATATAATAAAAATAACGAACAATATCGACTATTAAGAACCATAGAACATGCGACGCTTTTTGGTTTCTGTGCGACGTGGATAACGTCCGCGATAGCGTTAAGAACGCGACGATACTAACGCGTTCTGTTTGACAAGGCATTTAATATAAAATAATAATTATAATATTTTATGTATAATCTACACCTATTAAACCTATATACCTTCCAGAAATTAGAAAATAACGCTTTGATTCGAGTTCGTTTCGTCTCCTCAACATGACATTATCGTAAAATAAATAAATCACGTATTTTCCTTAGGAATTAAACAATTGTCGACAGTTAAACGTCCGTGTAAGAGTGTGTTTCAGCGAAAAAACGGAAAACCTATTTATTTGTTTCCCGTAAATCGTACCGCATTCCGAAACCGTAGAGAACGGAACGTTGATTCATATTTTAGTTCACGATTTGTGGTGGCGATCGCGACGGGTCTTATTAGATACCGGTGCCGACGATTTACGATTGTCCACAAAGAACGCGTTGTACACTTGAAAATGTGAAACGGACACGCGACTCTACCGATAAGACGAATAAAACAATTGTACGGGTGTACCTATGTAACTACGTAAACATAATATATTTAGAGAGTAAAACGTCGAACGCGTCGACCCGGTCAACAGTAATACACCGTCGACGACTAGTGTGGTCCGTCGCAACGAAGACGATTCGCTGGAACGCGCGCGCGCGCGCCGATCGGCCGTCTGAGAACGCGTGACGGGACCTGACGCGAAACAACGGGACGTCGAGTGCCGCTGTCCGGGAGCGAACGTGCTCGCGCGCGGCCGGCTACGGGCTGGACGACTGCGGCCCGTCGTTCCACGGCTGCACGTCGCTGCTGCCGGCCAACAGGAACGGGCACGCGCACGCGACCAGCGCCGCGGACAGGCCCAAGCAGATGTCGTTCCACGTGGCCTGGTCCGCGGTGTCGCCGAACGCGACTATGAACGCCACGTGGGTGGAGTTCATGGCCAGGCTGCCGACCACGTCGCAAACGGCCGTGATCGCGGCCACGAAATTCGGAGCCATCTCCATCTGGCTGACCCGGAACCCGGAGAACACGGCGCCGGACAGCGCGTACGCCAGCACCAGCGAGCCGTAGAACACGTACCGGTCGGCGAACACCGCCACAGCCGTCAGGAGCACGAGCGCGGGCACCACCATGCCGACGGCCGTCAGCGCCTGGAACGGAAAAGCGAATCGGTTGCGCCGCATCGAGGAGAGCGCGCGTTGCACACGCAGGACCGGCGTCAAGGGGAGGCCAAACGAGTCATTTGTCCAGAGTCTTGCGCTTAAAATTTTCATTGAAAAATATCTTATCTTATCTTAATCTCACGGAAATCTCATAGAACAAAACGTGGAATGTGTGGATCGTCTGTCGAGTGCGATTTCTAGAGAAATCCGTTGGCGTGTAATAAAAAAACTGATTAACCAAACAACAATATTATATTTAGCATGTCACGCATGCACCAACGACGACCCGTACGGCACGCCGCACAGCCTGGAAACCGGTATACATAAAAAATTTATTTTGTCGCATTTCTTAAATCTAAATAATCAGTACAGGGTGTACGCGGTGCGGTCGGGGTAGTTGTGCGCGGCCACGCTCCGCGTCACACTCGCTCCCGCGTAACATACCTTTCGAATGTTCGTCACGCCCGTCCACTGTCTAGTGTGCACCGCGGACGCTAACCATCCGGACCACCACAACATGGCCAACTGGCCCAGCGACGGTAAAGTGGACAAGAACCCGTTGCGCCCGATGGCCACCTTCAACGTTTCCTTTAGGTAAACGGGCATGTACATGATGAGCACCGTGTAGAACACGGTGGACCCGTAGTTGGCCACTGCGACGCACCACACGGGCACTGAGGTGGCTAAGCTCCGCCACGGCACGGGCAACTTGATCTTGGGCCGTATGGCCGCGGTTAGGTGTTCGAGCTCGTCCGGCCGCACGCCCGGGTCGTCTGCCGGAAAACGGTAGAACGCGTGCCACCACACGGCACTCCACAGTGCGCAGACCGCCTGCAACCGATCATACCATCGTACAACACACATGCGCTGTGTCGTCGGGTCGACACAAGGGCGGAACTAGGGGGTGGAAAATGGGGATTCATCCCCGGGGGTAACATTTTCGAGGGTGTAATTTTTGTAATTATTAACAACTAATTTGATATTTTTAACTTTGTTAAATACTGTTATTAAGTTAAAACTCAATAAGTATGATTGTATATTAATTATTAGAAAAAAATTCTCGAGAAGAGTATTTGATTATTGGTTTATGATAGGGCGTAATTTTAACATTTTTCCCGGGCGTAAAAATCCCTAACATCTGAGTCGACATCGGTGTCCGAATTTATAACCAGGTATTGACACCCCCGTCCGGTCATACCGTCTGCACAACAGGGAACTCAACGATAGCAGTGTTAGGTCCCTAACAGGACCAGCGTTGGAGGGTGTGTTGGGTACAATACTCCCCGCCTACGGACGACTTATTTGTATAGTCGGCAATCGTCTACGAATCAAGTTTTATCAGGGACTGCAGAGTTTTGTAAAAACATCCCTTACGTACTAAAACCGTTTTTTCGTTTTCACCGGAGAAAGCCGTTCAGACCCACGCTAAACCGACGATCTGTAGGGCCGTTATCGAAAAACTGAACAGTAAGGTAATATTGTGATCCATTTGGGAATAGGTACTCGGGAAATGTGGGCAAATTAATATAATCGATAGAAACAACGTGTTACCGTCATAACATGTTACCTAAACGAGAAACACAGATAAGGTTGAGAAGTGGTTACAGAAACATTATTTTTTAAATATTAAAGCGAAATCTTTACTCGTAGACGTTCACGGCATAAATAGCACGTGAATGTTACGCCTTTCGTGAGTGAGTAACTAAAACGGTGTTCCGAACAGATTAGTAAGTGTTAATAGTAGGCCGATCCGCCACGTTCTGTTGAACGGGTGCCTCTTACACGAAGCGGTCGATACCCACGGGTTCAAATCGTAATAAGGCAGTAGAAAAAAAAATTAATATAAAAAAAAAATATATCGATTATCAATTGTAATCTGGAATTGTGACAAATGTCTGCCCGAAGAAACCTAGGCTCTGGACGACATGGACGGGAAATTCGTTCAAAAGTCCGTTTCACATGTTGTACGGATGGGTAGTGTAATACGGTATAGAAGTTACTGCAAATTGTTTAAACGCTTCTTATCTATAATAGTATATGATCTATTTAGCTCAACAGCTATATAATATATAAATACATACATACATAACATTAGGTACGACATAATAACAGCGGCATGAATTTCTTATTAGGATATGATAATCTGTGCCTGGAAATTTGAACATAATCATAACAACTATTACACCTAACCAGAAGCAATTAACGATGATCGAGTGTGAAGATAAACGGATCGCGCATCATTATGAATGATTGAACATGCAGGTGCGGGAAAATTTAGAAGGAAATTTACGATAAGACGAAGAGAGAGAGAGAGCTCGGACCAGGGTCGTAGCAAGGGGGTTGGCGAGAAGTGCCTATGCTCCGGCGGAATTCCTGGGAGAACGTAAAAACGAAAATCTTACATTTTATGTATTATGATAAAAATTACAACGGTCAACGTCGTCTATTTTGTTTACAAAATCTTCAACCTAACCTAACCTTCACATTAATAAAACAATCATTGAAAATAATATCTAATAAGTATAATATTTTTAAATTAAAAATACATTAGGGCGCATTTCGAAGTTTTGTCCCGGGAGCAGTGTTTGGTTGCTACGACACTGGACATGGCGATCGGGAACCTGAAACGGTAAATATGCCACGAGGTACCGTGGAATCCGTCGGCGGTATTGTGACTGGTACGCGCGGTGACGGGCGCAGGGTGTATTTTATAATAACATGATAGGTACTGACGCTGACGACGAAGAAGCTGTAACGGAAAGTGGTTTCGTGCACGCTGTAGGCGAAGCCGCAGACCGCGTTGCCCAGCGCTATGCCACCGGGCAGCCCGGTGTTGATAGTGCCGTACATGACGGCCAGCCTGTCGGGCGGCGCCCAGTTGGACACCATGACGTTCATGAACGGCCACCAGGCGCCCAGCGATGCACCGTTGACGGCGAACAGCGCGCCGATGGCCACGATGGAGCTGATGGGCAACGGCGCGGACGCCGTCCAGTCGACGTACCAGAGCACGAACGGTGCGACCGCCGACGTGAGGGCCAACATGAGTGGTACGATAGCCAGCGCGGGCACCGGGTCCATGTGGTCCGCGCACATGGACGCGGGCACTTGGATGGCCGCGTACGCCACCTGGTATACGACGTTCATCGCGGAGTACACTTGGTGCCGGCCGCCAGTAGCGTCCACCAACATTTGGTTGAAGTGGCTTCGGCTGGCTATGGTCAGGTAGACGCCGATCATCAGCGCTGCGGTCACCTGGCTGCGGGACGACACGAACGTCTTGTACGTCATGGTCACCTTACTATAACCCCGTCTGTTTTACACGACCACTGCGAGCCGCGAATCCGTTCAGTAGGGCTGTGGTCGCGAGCGCGTTCCCGTCATACAGCTCTCATCCGCGGGCTATTACAAATCGCCGGACGTAGCGTACCGAATGTTTGGCACGCGCATAGCAACCGTGACCGTTTGTGTCGGATAAATGTCTTGTCGGGAAAAAGTCGATTGAACGTTTCACGTTTTACGAACGACATAACAGAAAATCCCGCATCGGTCCTCGGCTTTTGCGAAAGAAATTAGAAAATTAGCAATTATTCACGTATTACACACTTCCGTGAGAATCCGAAACTGTTATAATTGCATATTATATATTGCATTTTATAGATCAATACTGGACAGTAGTTTAGTTCGAAACTACTCCCGACCGGAACCTAACAGTTAAATTCAAATTGAAACGAAAATTAAATCTTGTGACTATATATAATATTTAAGAAAAATCAAACAATTACACCTTTTATTTTTATTAAAAAAAAAATCATATATAATGACATTTAATATTTATACTATTTTTAGTTTTCGACAAAATTTAACAAGTTGTTGTTTTTAACAACGAACCTAATCGTAATGATGTATATATTTATTACGTATAGAAACGTTTTTCTTTTTATATGTAAATTTGTATATGAAACGTTCCGCGTAAGACCGCGGACAATAGAAGGTACACTGTATACTATTTTTGAATTAAATGTAAAAATTATTACTTAAGTAACAGTGTTAATTAAACACTATTTTCTTTCCGAAATACGGGCTCAGGTGAAGATCTTGCTCATGTTATTACGGAGAGGTGAAGTTGAAAAATCATTTCATAACAGTTAAACATTACGGTATTCCTTTTATATTTTTATAATTGGTATGGCAATTAAATTTATAATAACAATGTTGGGCAATAATGTTTGTTAGAGTATTACAAAATTTGTAATATTTGATATTAAGTATCAATTATGTTAAAAAATGTATTAAAAAAAATTAGAAATTTAACATAAATTATAACAAATATTTTTCTTTTTCGTATTGATCGAGTGATTGCATATTTGCATAACTCAGTAGTTTTCAACCCATGGGCCGCAGACCATAAGTGGACCGTTAGCAGGTGATACTGGGCCGTGAACCATATTATATTAACATTATTTATATAAATAGGGATGGACTGGGTTAATATTTCAGGCCGGGAACTTTTTTTGCCAGGTTAAGAATTAACAGGGGACCAACGATTTGGTCATAAGTAGGGCTCGGAACTTAATGCATTTAAAAAGTACTAAATATACATGCACTTATGCGCTTAAAAAAGTACAAATATGCTCTAAAAATATGCACTTATATTTTATAAAATTATAAATATAGAAAAAGCAAAGCAAAGTAATAAAAATAATTTTGATTTTTAATTCTTCATCTTAATTTAAAATAGTAATAATAATAAAATGTCATTTTATTTATTTATTTTATTATTTTCATAAAAATGTTTCTTGAATAAAAAAAAATACACTTGTAGAATGTTCAATAATCATTGAGTTATTTTCCTAGAAAAGTGTTTATAGAAAATCATAGTATTTCGCTGTGTGAACGAGATTTTTCTACTTAATTTTTTTTAAAAAATAAATGATGGAATAAATTGAATTTTGAACGATTTAAGGCTAAAACTTTTCATTTTAATCCAGATATTGATTCTTTCGTGGGGGACAATCCAAAATTACATTAAATTGTTTAGCTCTTGAAGAACCTAGTTCAATGAAGTTTTTTTTTTTTTCATAAACAATTGTTTTTTAATAAATAAATTGTAATAACTAACACATGTGCACATTATACATAAATAACTATTGGTAGGGCTCAAATATCTTCTACGAAATTGGTGGTCCGCACTGCTAAAACGGTTGGGAACCGCCGGCATATTTTATTCCATTCATTACTTAGTCAATTTTATTCTATCGATATTATCCACGACTGTCGATCGTTGACGGTATAAACAAACCAAAAGTTATGCCGATTCGGAGAAGCCACGTAAGAACAAATAATAATATCATCAACTAAGTGCTTGAGTGTCACGGAATCGTATTGGCCGTAAAATAATGTTTAAAATAATTATTCGAAGAAGCGGCCCACCGACAAAACTCCCGAACTGTCCGCGACCCAGATCCGTCCCTGCGACTGTTGGACACGAACACGTGCGCGGCATTGTAGCCACTATTATTGTTATTGTTACGATTACGTTCTAATCGACAACCGTAGGCACTACAGAGCTGCTACGCTACGACGTAATAGTTCGTTTACGGCGCGAGCACACGGTTGAGAAACGATGTTTCACGGTCTAGCGCGACACGTTCGACCGATCGAGATCATGTGTATTGCGTACGCGCTTACGACAACGGTGGCGGCACAGAACGACGACTGACGTCTGACTTTTGATCCGACCGACATTCTGACGTCCGTCGAGCGCATCGGACGGGCAACCGTTTGACCCTCGGGTCCTGGGATGAGCACCGGACCGTGCGGACGCGTAACCGATTGACGTACGGACATATTCGGTCGTTTTTTGCAACTCTTCGCGTTGTACTCGTAACGTAACAACGATGCGCGGCTGACGATTCCCCGTTAATTGGCCACGGTCAATCCTTTCAACCCCTACTTTCGCCACTCGCGCGGGTGCGCCCCCCTTTTGGATGCGTATAAATACCGCCGGACGTTTGCGATGACCGTCATCAGTCGCTGCGTCCCGGTACAGGAAACAAGAAACGACGTTACATCGACTCCGACACCAAACTACTCTGCACCCGCTGCACAGAACACCCGCCGCCGAGCAAAACATGGTTTCTAAGGTGAGTAATAACGTGGGTACCGGAGTTTACGAAAAATCATTTTCGTCGTCGTCGTAGAGCTTTTTACTCTGGTTTTCTATCTTACTGATTTTCGTAACATCAACCGTGATTGATTCGTTTGTTCGTATTTATTATTTTTTCTTACACATACCATATCGAAAAATCAAAAATAATATTCAACGCTTTTCTTTTCAATAATCGTTATAATGTCTGTTTCTGAGTGTTTACGAACAACAGGTTCCCATTCAGGTTTCGATGGTCTTTTGATACTATTTACCATACTTGCAAAATAATATGTCAGACCAGTACGCGTTTAAGGGTATTAATTTACAAGTTAAAGCCTTTAATTCAAAATGAATATCTTTGGTGACATGACCTGTTACAGTTTATACTTGACTTTGGGCCATACGGTTTTTTTTTTTGTTCTTACTATCCGAACATACATGACGTAGTAATTTGTCATTTATCAATAATTAAACTCAACCGTGCATTGTAATTTTATCTGTTATGATTCACAATACATCAATATGTTAAAAAAATTAAATCGAATTATACTTGGAGTGTATGAATTTCTTAATGTTCTAAAAAATGAACAAATTAAAAATTAGCGAACAGAAAATAAAAAAATTTGAACACGATACGCTGGATAACACAGCGGATTTATAAACAAAATGTAAACGGATTTAATACAAATGTTGTTTCTACTTGAAATTATCAACGTAATGATGAACTTACGGCACCTACGAGCTTACCCATAATTTCTAATGTGTTTACATCGAGTTAATCGATCTGGATCGTAACTAAGGGGGGTGAAGGTACCTACGTTTCGGGTGCGAAAATGAAAAATTTGCATTTTATGGAGCAATTGTTGAATACAATATCTAACAATTGTAATATCTTTGAGTTAAAAATACGTAAGGGCGCGTTTCGAAGTTTCTCGTTGTAACCGTCGGTAGTACTTTTTTAGTACAACCGATCGCATTCTATCGGTGAACGAAAAAAAAAAAAAAACCGCCCGAAAAAACAGTCGCACGACACAGAACGCGTATCCACGTGCGAGCCGAACATACCGCTCGCCGTTCGCGAAGGGTTCGTGTCATGTTCGTTAATGGCACGTATACGCTGGCGATCCGCTCGCCAACCAATACCGACGACGAACCAACAGCGTCCCAACTTGGACTGGGTTATTTTCGTCGAAAAAAAAAACCGACTCTCGATGGATCGGCGCGAACGGTTCGCGGACGGTTCGCGGTAGGTTCGGTTCGCACATGTGTACGTACGGGTGTACAGGACGCGACGCATTGCAGTTGAACGTGATGATGGTGACGATCGCGGCGTTGTTGGCGGCCGGCGCGGCGTTGCCGTCGCACTACGCGGTGCCGGCGGAGGACGAGCACGCGGTCGCGTTCGGGCCGCCGGAACCGGAGCACCACGGCGAGCAGCCGTCGCGCAAGACGTATCACTTCCAGTACGCGGTGCACGACCCGCTGACCGGCGACGAGAAGAGCCACAACGAGGTGAGCGACGGCCACGGCACCGTCACCGGCACGTACACCGTGGTCGAGCCGGACGGTTCCAAGCGGGTGGTCGAGTACACCGCGGACGACGAGCACGGGTTCCGCGCCCAGGTGAAGAAGATCGAACAGCCCAAGCCGTCCGAGTACGACGCGCCCGTCCACGGGCACCAGTACAGCTACGTTCCCGAGTCGTACATATTCCACAATCACTGACCGTCACGTTGCGTACCGCTGAGGCGCCGCGGCGGTATTCAGTTTTCGGGGGCGTTTTTTAATTTTGGTTTTTTTTCCCGAGACTTTCGCTTTCATTTACTGTATACGTTGTCGCGCATTATTTTTGTTTTTTCTTTCGTTCAAACAAGCCGTGTCATCTTCGGCTAATGTCTTTTATTTATTTTTATTTTTTCATTTTCCCGAGTCCAGTCCCTTAAATCCCGTTCGAAACACTACGTCATTTCACTCCGGACAAATTTATCGAAACGTATTACAATATTATCTACTCCGAATTATTTTTTATTTATTCATTCGAATAAAACATTATTTGGACAAAATGTAAAATGATTATTTTTTACAAGATCTCTGTCAGTGATATAACAGTTTCACTTGCGTCGAAGAAAATACTTGTGCGATTCAGATCACCCGAATAACTCATTCATACATCAATTAATTGATGTTTGTGTACATTTTTTTTTATATTTTTTTTTTTTTGTACTAAAAATATATTAATAGTTCATAAACGAAAATTAAATATTAATTAGTCTTATACTTGTATTAGCTTTTCTCTTTTGTTATTGAACAATCTTTTGACTTGATTTTTATCATTTTTAAAGAACCATGTTTTATATATATATAAAGAAAAGTATGAATTAATACCACTTTTTTGTATTCAGAACCATTATTTTCGCATATTTTATTATCATATTTAATTTCAATAGAACTCCTCCTGTATTGTAACAACTTTTCGCAATTTTCAGGTCTTACCATTTTTTTTATTAACGACAAAGTACAGTGCATATTTTAAAATAGATGGCTTATGTTTGAAAATTATTTCTTTGTTTATATTTTTGTGCCTTTAATTTATTGTACACAATTGTCTTTTCATATGTTATATGTATGCTTATTATAACTCAAAAATAAGTAAATGGAAAAAATTAATTTGAGTTACTTTATCCAAAAACCGTCAAATTTACTTCATATTTGTATTTTCGATTTTTAAATCATTTACCGTTAAATTAAACAATAGTTATTATAGGAACGCATTAAAATTGGAAATACTTTTACTTATTGATTTTTTCATTTCAAGTGTAATTAATTTAAATAAGCACATTTTTACCAAATGTTATCAATTAAGTGACCATTTACCAAATAAAATAAGAAAAACCCAAGTTATTTCAGTATTTATTTAAACTACTTCAGTTATTTAGTTAATTTTCTATATTTTATAAGTACTTTAATTGACACAATAATAATTTACATATTTTATTAAGTGTTAAAATCAATTATTTCACTTATCTATATTTATAGTTGTTTAACTAATAAAATATAGTTATTTTATAATAAACATGTTTTTGTATGACAGTTATGTATGAATTATTGATTATGAATATCTATATTACTATTTTACAAATGTTTGTATCTATATATAATTATCATTTTTTACCAATAGATTAAATTGACAAGATTAACCAATGATAATTTATAAAATATACAAGTTGAAACTATAGCTAAAGTAAAATTATAATGGTTACAGTATAAATAATTCTAAATAAATAATTTGAACAAGATCAATTTGTTTGCAATGTACGTCTAATAAGTAAACATAAAACGTTACAATAAATCAAAATATTTACAATTTTTAGTATTTTAATTTTTTTGAAGTGCTAAAATTCAAATATTCAATACTACATACAATGATAAAAATCATTATATGTATATACTATATATCGTGGAAAAATTAAAAAAATTATAGGTGATAATTAATTATATTTTAAAATGTACTTTGTTCCTGTATTTACAGAAAAACCTTACGTGTGCATTAAGGTTAACACTATTGCACGTACAATGAGGCTGTAGTATGAAATGTTACACATTTGTATTATGTTGTTATAGTAATCAATAGTAAATGTGTGCTTGATGCAAAATCTATAAAATCGCAACTTCTAAGTGAAACATTAACATATATTGGTCCGAAAAATCGAAAACCCACTGCGATGAAAAAAGAAAAAAAAACGGTAATATAAATAAAGGATAAAAATAAGATACCCGTTTATTTATTTCAATAACCTAGAGACTTCATCTACAACGCAGCGGAAAACCGATGGTATCAGTTGTTCCCATTAAAATGAATTCTCGATAGGTACCGGCATAGATATTTAGCCTAAGGGTCGGACGGGTAAGATGTAGTTGCCAGGAGGACAGTCGAAAACCACAGTACTTTCGAACGAGCAAACGAATGGCATCCCCGAACACAACACAGCGAACACAATTAATGATAATGATTAAGGTCTGAACGTTAAGGAAATCATTTTTTTTTTTTTTTAACTCAAAATGTGTTCTAATAGCTCAGAAATCTATACGTGTAGTTTCAATTTACATTATACATTATTAACGTACACGGGAGGTGAACATTCGATTGATTTTTACTTAAAATAGACGAACAGCTTTAAAAAAACATAAATTATATCTTACAGATGTCGGTTGCAGTTCACGTTCAGTCGCCCTCGTCTCATCACAACATCATATCCGGTGCCTAATATAAATAATTGTAACGATAATAATGATAATAATGATTCCGGTGCGTGTGCAGGCATACGGTGATCAGTACGTCCAAGTGGTCCACGTGCCGTTGAACCTGGCCGGGTTGCCGTTCGGGTCGAACGGCTTGTTGGTCTGCGGCACTAGCAGCCGCCGGTAGTACTTGAGCGCCTCGTACAGCTGCGCGCTGACGGCCACGTATTTCTTGGCCACGTTGACGGTCTCGCACGGGTCGGCCAGCAGGTCGAACAGGCACGCCTCGCCCGTGGGACACGGGGACCGGGCGCGCGGCCCTCCGGCCGACTGGCCGCACCGGACCGTCGACTCGTACCGCATGGCCAACAGGTCGCGCGCACCGGCCGCGCTCGCGTACGGCAACGCGTCCGACAGCCGGGCGAGCGCGCGCCCGGCCGGGCTGTACATCACGGCCGTCACGTTGTACGGCGTCCGCGGCCTGGTCGCGCCGTAGAACCCGTCCAGCGATCCGTTGGCCGTCGCACCTGCGGAACGCGCGTCGGATTAGCGAACCAGCTCGTCGAGGACGCCGCGAGCACAGGGCTCGAGACGGTAAAATACCAGCGGTAAGTGGGCAGGGGCTATCTAAAGAAGGATTGGAGACGGTTCGGGAAGGGTTGATCTCCGAGCACCCTCCACGCACGTGGCGGCACCAGAGCTCTGCACGGACCCCGGTGCTTTCGGTATTTTTGCACGAAGATTCTTAACGGTCCGATGGGGCCAAATGAATAAGTCTTATTCAACGAATAAATCTCATATACAAGTTATTCAGTACTCCTTCTACCACTGCGAAAGTAGATGTTAAGAATTGGCCACGGATAGGTTACGTGGCTGGTCTAGTGCGTTCGTAACTGATAATATCAAGGATTTTGTAATAAATTATTAAACCAACTGGTATTACGTTACCAAACAAACTAGTAGTAACTACTCTATCTTATGGAGTTCTGTTGAATCCTATTGAGCACTTTTAAAGTATTTCATGAACTGCGACGCACCGCAGAAACAAATAATATTAAGTACAATGACTTTCGAGCTCGTAATGAATTTCTAAACATTTTTATATCGGTTTTTGTTGGATTTTTACTACTGATATCTGGTCGAAAACGAGAAAACTTAATTATTGGAATCGTTCGTGGTTAATTATAGTTATTGATTTAGCGATACGATCTGAGTTAAATAAAACAGGTTCATTTAATTATATGGTTAACTAAAAACTCACCGACGATTAATTTCCAGCTATCTTTAATGATTGCCGCGTAACGCTGTTTTTCGTCAATGTTAAGCAAAACGAAATTACGCTGTGATGGTAAATTCAATGTAAGTGCTGTCCATTGATCGGTTCCGTCCATATCTTTTGGTAAAAATCCCGGATTTCCTCCTAAAATCATAAAATGTATGTTACAAAAAAATTGATAAAAATTGTATTCATAAAAATATAGTCAGAGTTAATTGTTTCGTGATCATTCGAATGAGACCGAATTTTTGTGATGTATTATATCTTATTTTAGAAACTAAATTTAAGGTTCTCAATATTTTCAGGTTCATGCCCACTTTTAAACAACTGTAGGAGGCCATTAAAATAATGAAGTTCATTTAATATATGTATAATGCACATGTCATGATTTTAATGCCGGATAAAAAAAAATAATATAAATAAGACTTCATTACATTTATATCGATAAATATATCGTTATCTTTAACTCAAAAGTATTTTCTCCGGATTATTGATGGTAATCAATAATAATGGTAATCAACAATATTGCATAATACATAATTAGAAATAACGTTTTTATGTTTCATGGTTTTTAAAATTATTCACCCTTTCTCTGAAATAATGTTACATTCGTCAAGTTGAAAACCTTTAATTTTATATAAATATATATATGAATATACCTATTCATTATTAAATCATGTTTTAAATTTTTATGAACAAAAAAATTGAGTTGAGATTGAGTTACACAACGTGTTTGTCACAATAGTACCAGTTGTACATACCCGCAGCCGAATATAGCGTAGGTAACCAGTCGGTGATGTGCATGAGTTGTTTGGAAACGCGAGGATTTTCTTGAAAATGTGGTGCCCAGATAAGAGACGGGCTCTTGACGCCTCCTTCCCACAACGTATTTTTTATCTGCGAACATAAAACACAAACCGATACAATTCACGCACTGCTCGTGAACAATTATACACTGCTAAAATATTGCACACGCTTACACCTCTGTAGGGAAAATTGGAACCCCAATTAGGAGTAACGCCGGCGGCAGATCCGAAATTCCGACCGGAGTCGTCGAAAGACGGCGAACCGTTGTCCGACATGAAAACGATTATGGTGTTGTGCAACATTTTTTGTTCGTCTAGTGCTTGTACAACACGACCAACGGATTCATCTAACTTGGACACCATCGCTGCAACACGCATTTCATCAAAGTTAAACCGGTCAATAAAGAATATTAACACGAGTTAAATAGTCAAATTAATAACCAACACAAAAATGTTAAATTACATTTAATATGTAATACAATGGGGTGCATTAATTTAATGTAATATGAAGAAGAACATAATTTAATTTATTTTTGAACGAGTTCTGAAATGTTGCGATTACGTTTCCGTTCGATTTGTATTAATAAGAATAAATATCACCTAAGAAATCAGGGATTATACGTAACAAACAAAACCTCTCGTCCCAAAATGAATATTACAAATTACTGTTTTAACGGTTTGGAAAGTAAAACCTAATTACGGGTAAATATTAATGCTAATACTATTTGCCAAGGTATGGTCGAATTGCACTTGGGTTTAAAAAAGGTAATGGTCGAACTGCACTCGGGTAAAAAGTAGGTAGTGATCGAACTGCACTTGGACTCAAAAAAGTATTTCAATAAAATTATCATGCATTTGAAGGGGTTAGATTTATTTTATTTAGTTACATTTATTACCATTTAGTAATCATTAGCGTGGTTAAAAATTATTGTTTTATACATCACATTATTATATGTTAATTATATATATTTACATTATAACTGTTAGATTGTACATTATATTATATTATATTATACATATTATTATTATTAGGTATATATATATTTTAATCGTTAAATTTAATTATTGTCATTATTATAATTTTTTTTTGTCATTTCGATCATTTTTTGTAGTAATGACTAACTGTATTCAAAAATTCTACTTTGGTAATACGCTTCTGAGTATGTATGTTATTATTATATAATATTATCTGCGTTATCTAAATGGCACGAACTAATATATAATGCTTTTAAATAAGTACGCTGTAGCGTTCTTCAACAGAAAGATTCATAATATTTTTAGAAGGTTTTCCAATATAACTCTTTTTTTTTGAACGAGTGCAGTTCAACCATTACTTTTTTTCAATCCAAGTGAAATTCGAACATTTATTCATACAAGTGCAATATAATAAGTGCAATTCGACTATCCCGATTTTCCAATAGGCCATTGGTTTGTTTAAACTTGGTTAGTATATTGTAAACGTCGTTCAAGCACCTGCATAAGTCCTTCGGTTTGGGTCCAATATGTGACTGAATTTGTTGATCTCCGACTGTGGCGCTTCCAAGTATTTACCCCTGTTACCCGTGTGCACGGCTACATGAGCTAAATACATGAACAGAGGTTTATCGGTCGGTTGTGTTTTAATGAGTCGTACCGCCTCGTCGGTAAACACGTCAGTGGCGTACTTGCCGACCACGTCCCAAGCGATCGTATCGTTTCTGCGCATATCAAATCCGTGGAACTCGCCGAAGTTCTGGTACTGAATTTGCAATATAAATAAAATCATGGTTTTATTATAAATTTAAATTTCACCATACAGATAAAATGTAACCGAACAAAATTATTTACATAAATTATACATGCACTGTACACGTTCGTGAATGTTAATAAGTGGTATTGTGGAATCTGTTAAAAACGGACTAGGAATGTCAAACCTATAATACATTTATCGTATCTTACAATACACTTTAATACCGTGATCTGCGTATAGGTGAAGATGTAACGAAGGGACTGTATAAATGGAACTAAGCCCTTTTAGATTATTATTTTTTTTTTTTTTTTTGCAAACGAACCGCAACCGTGACGTTTAAAGATTTTGAAAAATTATAATCATATGCAATTCTTATTAGATTATGACTGATCGTGTTCGAAAAAAGTGTTAAACACATAATAGATAAATCGCACTCTATATTTGAAATTATCCAACGAATAATTGTGTGCTTATATATACTTTATGTTGTGTAAACTAAATATATCGTCCTTCATTATTTTCAATCGAAGTTCCGTTATTACAATCGTGGAACTAAACGGTTATTTTCATTCAAGTTCAGACATTGAAAAGGGAATATACTTACGACATCTTGTAGGATGTAATCGTAATAGCTGATGTATCCAGTGTAGTAGCCAAAGTGCGAGTCAAAACCGCGTCGCGTGGGCGTGTAAGCTGTCCTGTAGTAACCTAAATGCCATTTTCCTATGGCTCGAGTCGTGTATCCTAATTCTCTGAAGTATTCCGGCAACAGTTTCTCGGACAACGATAAACCGTTGGGTTCGGCACCGTAAATCGGAGGACCTTGCATACCTTTAACATCGCAGAAATACAATGTAGTAATAATGTTTAGTTACAGCCGGTGTATGGTTCTTTGAAACTAATTGTTTTCGAGAAGAATCCAACAGCAGCGTTCGTATTTAATAGTAAGTGTCAAAAAAAAAAAAAAAATCATTGGTTGATGTTTCTAATATTGTTCCTTACCTAATTTAATCGGATATTTTCCAGTCATCAAAGCCACTCGAGACGGTGTGCACACCGGTTGCGTGTACATGTTGTTGAGCACAACACCGTTGAACGCTAGAGCATCGATGTTGGGCGTTGGGATTTCGTCAGACCCGTGAAAACTTAAATCATTCCATCCCTAAAAATATTGAGATACGGTAAAATAATAATAAATTAAATTTAATTACGTTTCATCATACGTAGTTCGAAATTATAACGGATGTTTAGGTCCAAAATTCGACTGATATAGATAATGTTTTTTTAGGTACAGTTTTTTTCACCACAAAGTTTCAAAAATTGTATAAATATTTATTTTTGAGTTATCTCATTTAATATTTATAAAATATTTAATTGAATTTCAGAGAACGGTACTCCATATTTTTTTTAAATATCCATGTCCTATTTATTTATCTAACAAAAAGCAAGTGTTAAACTAATTTAGGATAACAGTAAAAATCATTAAAAATATTTAAATATTTACATAATATTTTTCTTTCTCTTTGAACCATTTTTCTCCCTTATTTAAAATTTTTATTTTTAATTCCTCAGAATCTAATTCCGATAGTATGAGATTGACTTTTAAATGAGATATTCTGAACAGTAGTTAGTAAATCAAAAAATTATTTATTTATTTATTCGATTAATATTGGTGTAAATTTGAATAAAAATACTTCGTGAAAACATATTGTACAACAAGTTAGGTTAGTTAGATTGATAGTATGTTCTGAAGAAGGCATATCGATGAAAATTTATTTGTTTTTAAAATCATTATGGTATTAATTTATTATATCACTTCATATTTACTTTAAAATATTAAATGGTCTACAATAATCGGTAAAATTGTGTGAGATCACACAGAGAATAGCCGAAATTATATTGCACGCACGTGCTTTAGCTGCAATGAATAGTGTGGAGAAATCATACATTTAGTCGGTTATCATTTATTTCGCTCTATGTAAATGCACTGTATTAAGGAACTTCCTGTGCAGACAATTATTTCAAATAAGTCGATAAGCTTGTGATTATCTTAAAACGCGTGAGTTATTGTGTTGAGCATTTCATAGTCAAGTGTTATGAATTAAATTCATTATTTTTATCAAGTAAAATACTTTTGTTTATATTAACATAAATATTAATTAACATAACATTTATATCAACTAAAATATTAAATGATATGCTTATAATGTTGATGAAAAAATTATATAATAATGATATGTCGCAACATTGTAATTTTAGAATAGTCTATTGAGGGATTAATAAAATGTGAGGAGTCACAAATGATGAATGAACATATTTACGATGTACTTCACTGAAGATAAATTCCAAATAATTAATGAACAATCATTTTACTTCGTGTGATCATTTTCCCAAACGAAAAAAATAAAATGTACGAAAAAAAACGAACAAATTTGAATTGTATTTGTTTACAAATAAACCTTAGGGCAAAAATTGAGTTCCTCTGCGAATCGTTTTTTATCGATTCATCGATCGGGTTTAAAAAAAAAAAAAAAAAAAAAAAACCATAAAATGATAAGTACTGGTCGCTTAGTTGAGCGAATCAAGACTCTAATAATATATGTACATCCGGGTGTTCGGTGTCCGGCATTTAATTTTCGATCTTGTTATTTTTGTTGTCGTCGTTTGTATGAAGGTCAATGTCGCATACCGAAAGATTGTGCGTACAGCGAACATATTGCACTGTATATACACATACATCATATATTACCTTTCTATCATTTGTGTTGTCGTGTTTGTTATGTCGGTTCAACGTAACACGTTGATAATATTTTAAATTTGTTTTGTAACAATGTACTATGGTTCGCAACAAATGTTTGATGTGATTATTATTATTATATTATAATTATATCTTAAAAATGTGCTTGGTATGATCATCATTTAGTTTAATCATATATTAAGATATTTAATCATTGAAAAATTGTACATTTCCATTCGGATTCGAAAACGTATAAATGATATAAACAGTATTCTCGTTGAAAATTCGAAACGAAAAAATAAACAAGTTCAATAATTTGGAAAAACTATTAGGGTCGAATTCAGACAGATCGATTATGGTTCATGGAAGGTATTGTGTGATATTCGAGAGAGTTCAATGCCTAGTAGTACCACTCTCCACTCTCTACACATACCCATGTTTATACTTTTCATCCAAATAATGTGACACATAAAATATATAATAAGCACACAATAGTCTGAATAAATGAATGACTGTCTTTTAGTACAGTATCGTAAAAATGAAAACTTCTTTATTTACAAGCTTATATAGTAATATTGAAAAAAAATAATATATATATATATATATATAGCATTATTAATATGCATGTTCGACTAACCTGTCAAAAATAAGTGAATGAAAATGTTTTCTCACGTAAACATGACAGACTGTCAAGCGTTAGCACGTGGAAGTCAACGGATGAAAAGTATTGGAAAAATAGTTCAATAAATAATACTATTTTGCGTTCATTCACGTGTGTTCGATAGGTTTTATAAAAATATATGTGGAAAAGTATCACGGCCAGTTGCCGGGAGTATACGAAAATATATTATATATATAATACATATATCGTTAATGGGCGAATGGGCGATCGATCTCGTATCTCAAAAAAGTTAAGGAAAGACTAAAACGTGGTTAGAAAATACAATGATACAGATAAATGTAACTTTTTTTTTTTAATTAAGGCAATAATAATTTTTTTTTTTTTTTTTTTTTTGAAATATGACTTCTTCATAGTGTATTACTATTAATAATATTTGATTGATAACATTTTAACATTCCAGACATTTTTTTATCTAAAAATTTGATTTACCACAGAATTAGTATTTATTTTCTAACTTCCATAAAATTAAATAAAGATAAGATATTATTTTATCAAAAAATGGGATACTTTTCCTTTTTTTTTTTTTAATTATAAATCGCAAAATTGATTTTTTTTTTTTTTGAGATACGAGTTATTGGTCGCACATCGACAATGTATACCTAAATATGTTACAAATAGTTATAAACATTGTTTAATGAGTACGATGTAAATTAAAACGTGTTGGTGTATCGATCTATATTATAGGTCAACTTCACATCAATCATTTCTGTGTGTTTAAAAAATGCTTTTTTATTTATTTATTTTTATCAGTTGTTCTTATTCTACTATATTGCAAAAGATTGAATAAAAGACTTTTGAAAACTAAAAAAAAAGTTATCTAATAATTACGTACACTTATACTAATACCTAATACACTTATATAGACGTTAGATTGGTATTAAACCTTAATTATTACTCAATATACTTTGTATATTTTTATTATAATAACTTGTTTGTCAGTGATTGTAACTATCTATTCGTCTAGTGTGCTTGTATTTTAAGTACCTACTCTAGACATTATAACTATACTGCTGTTGTCGGTTTAAACAGTTCAGTCATGTATTTTTTCAGGGATGGAAAACGTTTTTGAAAACGTTTTTAAAAACCGTTATTAAACGAAAAAAAAGAAAAACGAAAACAAAAAAAATATTATAACGAAATCTATAGAAATCTGAAATAGTGTTTTACTTTACGTATTTACTTACTCTTTAGTCTTTACTCTTACCAATGCACTTTTTAAAAACGTTTTAATTTAAAATTTTGAATTTTATTATTTTCATATAAAATATAAATTATAATTTTGATTTAAAATTAAAATTTTAATTATTAAGAATAATTAATTATAACTAATGTGCATTCCTATATTCAGTATATTGAATATTCATTGTAACTATTATAAGTTAGGTATAAGAAATAAGGATATATAAAAAAAAACAAACAAAATTATCAAAAACGTAATAAACAAAAATGTTTAAAAACGTTAAACAAAAACGATATTTTTTAAATCAATAAACGTAAACGAAAAAATAAAAAACGTTTCTCATCTCTGGTTTTTTTAAAGTTCATCCTATGAAGTTGGCAAATTAAAGAAATGTTATAAAAATATAATATAACAAACGAGATTTTCACCCGGGACAATGAATTTCACACAGTGCCGCTTAGTCTTGCAATAATAATGCTGCACTAATACTCATTGTTGAAATTTCTACACGTTTTGATTTTTATAATAATTCCGTTTTAATGAATCCGGAATAAGTTGTACAGACGAGTTTGCGCGCAACGAACAATGTTCCATTTCGACTGCCGTAAGACGCGTTTCATGCGGACAAATGTTTTTAGCGCAAACAGGAAAGAGCAGTAGCCACTAAGCTATAATAAAACGTCCTTGACTACCTCATATCCGAATAGTTATTAAAAAATACGGGATAAAACGAGATTCAATTATAGTTCTCCTCTCCCCGTTTGACAGATTATTTTCTGGATGTAGATATTACTATAGGTTTCTATTCACCGTCATGCAAGTCGGTTTATCGGGCTCTCCGAGATTATTAATCGCATTCGTTTCTCGCGAGGTGTTTTGAACGTTTTCGCCGTCGAGCGTCGCTACCGTAGCTGCGAAGACCGCAGAGACCGCAATATATTTGCAAATATCACTCGCAATGTCAATGCTCTCCTCGTCGATCGAACAACGACGGATGTTGTGATATTAGAGAATTACCGGGCAATATATTAATATCAAGATTGTTTTTTTGCGTAACGGTTGGGAACGGGTTTGCCGGTCTCATAACCGGGTTGTAACGTGAAAACAGTACGCGATCCGATTCAATGTTATCCACGACGCAACAACCACGGTGCCGTTGGCGTTGGATTATTTTTTCTATTGGAAAACTAAATTTCTTCTATCATACATGGTTTATACGTACATATCATTGTATATCATTTTAATATCTATTAATTTGTTGGTTCTCGTTGTACACATAATACTAGGCATAGGTACACACGGTCAGTGGTAGTCCGAAGATGTTGTACCCAAAGAGTAAATTGATCACTACCCGCCCGCACTCAAATCCGCTATGACTTAATACGAGTTTATACCTTATGCGCATTTAAATTTACACGTCCTTTACTTTAGAATCGCTCTAAGCTAACTGTTGAATATTAGAACTAAAATACTACAAAAGGATATACATATAAAAAAATAAAATCCCAAATCAATAAGTGAAAATCGGTTAGGAGCCATTTATCCCTGTTCTTTACAGTTGGATAGCTCCTGTACGTGATAGTGGTGCACAAAAATCCGTATGCAAATATTTTAATAGCGACTATGTACATATAGATACCTAGTAATAACCTATAACCTAGTCATAATTTAGCGGACCGTGTCCATAGAGCGTATGCCGGTGTAATGGACAATCGAGTTTCTGATTAATCGATAATTGTACACATAGTGATTCGAAGTTTGCGTCAACGTTTTGAATTTTTTTTATATTGTTTTTCACTCACGCAAACTATTGATAGCAGATAGAAATATGTGACGAGTTATAAACGTGTACTCGAGCAGAATCGCTAACATTAATGAATTAGGTATATTTATCATGCGGTTTAAAAACTAAGAAGACTAGGTATAGTTTAAATCAGATTTCGTCTTTAGAATACAACTTTGTGGTTGGAAATGTTTATTATGAAATTATTTCATAACTGCTGTCAACATCGTTGATCAATATTTGGCTAGAAATATCAAGACGGAAATAACGTGTGTTTCAATAAACTCGGGCCCCGATTTATCTATAATATAAGTGATCGTGACCTTTTTTTTTTCTGTACACAATTCGGCTACTCGCTTCGGTGTTGGATAATGTACGTTGTCGTACGATTACCTTCGAGGACTCTATTACGAAACTGAAAATGTTATACGCACAATAATTAGGTAGTTATAATCGGTACGTGATCCGATCGGATACAGAATATAACGAAAATATTTTGCGGCCACGCCAAAAGCGCTGGACAGTCAAAATCAAATGGTGATCATTCACCATTATGTATAGTGGTTAAAATGTTCAGATTGTCAAATAAAATTATTCGATTAGAATCAAAGGATTTTTTTTATTTTATGGAGAAGCTAGGATTTATAAAAAAATTAATTTTTTTTCTTAAATGTAAATATCGAATAGAAATTTATTAGGAATTTTTTGCACCCTTAAATGTTGCAAATATATCTTATACTTGTTAAAAAAGATAAGTAGAAAATGTATTTGGATACATTTTTTTAAATTTAAATGTATTAATTTGATAATATATTTTTTTTAAATTTAATTTGAAGTTTTCCTTATATTTATTTTTCATTTTTTAAATCGTTATTAAGGTATATGATTTCATTAAAAACGTACTCATTGTATAATTGGTAAAACAGTAAAAAATATTTTGTATGTCATTATATATTCTAATTTGTAAACATTATTTGAAAAATACCAACTATGATAATACATATCATAATTAAAGGACTACGAGAACAAACGATAATAGGATATATTTCCAAACTGTTTAATGTTGCAGTTTTAATTTTCAGAACTCAATAAATTATGGGATAAAGTAAGAAATAATTTAAAAAATATATTGATGAGTATTAATTAAATTTTGATAAAATTAATAATAAAATAAATGGCAAGGTGATAATATCAATTATATTATAATTTTCAGATTTTTTTGGATTTTTTATTATTACCATTTTTTCCGAAGTTCTTCAAATGTTTTGTGCATAATTCACTGATATATTTTAATTTATCAATCATTTTTACGATGAAAATGTCCCAAATAAGATTAAATGTTAAATGTTTACTCACGTGATTGTTTTACATATTATGTTTGTAAATTATTCTCATAGAAATCATATCGGGTATAAATTTTAAGTTTTGATATATAATTTTTAGCTATATAATCTATATATTGTTTCTTTATGTTTAAATTGTTTGTGTGACAATTGTGCCAACACAACTAATCTTTATATATTTATATTATGTTTAGGTTCCACCAATTATAAATTATAATTAAGGGGTAATGGCCTTGATGTACAATTATTACTTCTGATCAAGTACTTTATATTTAAATTTTATTGTTGTTGTTAATTACCTACTTAGCCTGATATTTCTTAATCATTGGCGTTAAATAAAATATAATTTTAAATCATACTTAAATGGATTATTATTATTTTCAAATTCAGATTTTACGTTATTTCTTAATTGATTGGAAAAAATACATATTGCGAGGAAACGTTTTTTACCGTATATTCACTCCTAATGATTTTTGTAAATATAATGTAAGAAAAGATAAATTAATTACAAATTTTCCTCTTATTTTTATTCGTTTATAATCATTAGGGAGTTACATTATACATGTAATATCTTGTTTTTGATTTAATTTTTGGTATAATTTCTTACGATGGACATTATAAAACGTTTTTAACATAGTCTACATACTACGAAAAATAATATGGTGAAGAAAATAGATAATATTATAATTAATTTTTTCATGCTGTAATTTTAAATGTGTAGACACGTTTTAGTTATTTTTTTAATGTTCTTACCTACTTATGTATTATAATGTGATACATATTTATTACTTGTCAACATTATAGTAATGGTATATTAAGTGTCTTAGCTGAAATTGCATAAGAAATCTCAAATATTTTACATATTATATAATGCTATATACAATATGTACCAGCATGTGAGTATTCCACGAAAATTAGTAATATTAAAATGCTATACTTATATTTATTTTTTATATTATATATGTAAAAAAAGTAAAGAGGTATGTATGTAATGTCACATTAATATCTTAAATAAAAACAGAATCCATTATGAATTTTTAACGAATTTGTCATACATAGAAGAATATCAGGGAGATTACAGGACTTAGCCAACATTTTCAAAAGATCTCCTAAAATCGAAACTTAATTTAAAATTTTATTATTACTTTTATATGTTTTAATAATAATCTTTTCATTTTTTTTGAAAATTGTAAAATTATATTTAACCAACAAATAGTGCTAACAAAAAAATCATCAAAAATTTTGTAGTTCAATAAATTGTGATATGAATATTAACATAAAATATGTTTTAATAGTTATGTCAGAAAATCAAATAATATTACCTAATTTTATTATTACATTAACCATACCAATCAGTTCAACTACTTGAAAAAGAAGTTTCAGTGCATTGAGAAAAATAAAAACCTGCCTGAGAACATCGATGTTTCAGGATAGATTTCACAAACTTTTAATTCTGTATATTGATGAATATATGTTCAAAAATATTAATAGGAATAATATTTTAAATATTTTTTCTGATAAAATTAGATGTTTGTTATTAAAATAAAATAATTATAATTTTTAAATATATTTTATTTATGGTTTTTTTTATTATAATTTAAATATATTTATATTTTTTATAGTAATATGCTATAATTAAATGTAGAAGAGGTTACGAGAGCGAAACCCTTGTGGTAATTTTATATTGTATTATTACTGCCCCTTGAAAATTCAACCAAATTTCTGCCTATAATGTAACGTATAAGCGAAGATAACGTTTAATCACATGTAACGAGTTAATGAAATGTATATATAATTATATATATAAATACTGAAAATAGACAATAAAGTTGTGAAATATAAATAATTGTTCTCAGGTAATATTTTCATATGGTGTAATCCTTAGGTGCGCATAAACAATTGCTTTTTTTATAATGTAACTTCGATGAAATAGATAGTTTGAATTTTAGTTTCGAATTAAAATCGATAATTATTTGGTGGTTCAGTCACATGTATATTTAAATGGTTAAATAATTTCTTACCAAATCGTCAGCCATTATGAAAACAATATTTGGTTTAGAAGTGATTGACATTGCGGATGGCAGGACGACGGCAAACGTGACGAGGATCGGCAGCATCGCTATTCCTTCCATGAATCCTGACGGTAGAATTGGCGACGGCGTAAGAGACTGCGACAAGGTTTGATAACGAATTGAACTCGTAGGCTAAAGTGATGATTTTCTAACCGGTGACGGTGAAGGTGAAAAGAAAAAAGCGAACTAGTTTTCCCTCTTTTTCTTAGTTGCCCTATTTTTTCGTTTATTTTATTTTTAATAAATATAAAAAAAAAAAAATCACTTCATTTACCATTAAAAACTCCGTCAAAATATCTATACACTTTTTTTTTTTATGTATACTATATTTTAATATTATTAATGTATTTCGGTACAATTTACACGGTGAAGTGAAGTGTCCTACTAGGAGGTGTGGATGTTTTTAATAGCCCACGCGAAAACGGACACGTCCGAACTACGACTAGATTGTGGTGATTAGTAGTTCTTAATATTTCTTATATATACGTATAAGAAATAGGAGGTAGTTTACAATACACACACACACACACACATACAAGTAAATATACAGGACTAATACTACGCTAGAGGTAACCAAAACGAATTTTCAAGAGTGGGGATATCGTGTTATACTAGGATAGTAATATAACTTCATGTAATACTCAGTTGTCGAATAATAAATTATGTTTTAGATAAATTTGCACATTTATAAATACATACATATAAAACTATAATAAAATGAAATACCTGTTGAATAATTGTGAATATTATCTCTGTTATCGTTTAATGATAACTCTTGATTTTGAATGTTTAGTGTAGACATTTTTTTTTATGGTTAGGTTTTGTATACTATTATAGTTGTATGATTATTTATGATTGTTTTTTTTTCTTGTTCAGGATCAAATTTCTGTATCGTAAAATGCAATTATAGAATCATAATATAGTGTTTGAAAAAAAATTAGACAAGGGTCGTATGTTTAAAAGAACGTTAGTATTGATTTTTTTTGTTGGTTTCTCTAGCTTGAATTAATGATAAATTTCATTTAGATTTTAGTTTTTAGAAATGTTGTTTTCTATTTCTTAATTCCTATTAAATAAAAATGGATGTATTATGTGTATAGTATACATATAATAGGAGATAAAAATTTAAAGTTAAATCATTTTTTTTTATAATAAAATTTATTTTTATGAACATATACTCGTATAATATATAATATAACATATAATCGTATTTTAAAGCCTCCAATTTGAATAGAGCTCTTTAACGTGAAACGAATTTATATCATCTTTTAAATTTCAATAAATAATTAGACTTGCATCCAAAACCAATAATAAAAACGTAACATCAATATTCAGCATACCTTTTTCTATCTCAGTACAACAGCTTGTTTCGTATATGATTTATAAATTTATCGTCATAACTAAATAAATAAATGTTAACTAGCAATTTATGAAAAATAAAGTAGGGTAGAACTCGGTGCAAAAGTCAATGAAATTTTCATTATCTCCCTTTGTAAATTTATTACTGATACGGAAAATGACGATGAAGATTCAATACTGCTTCGGTTATTCACAATTCAACCCTTTTGCTCAATATTTCAGTTTTTGTTGAGATTGTTTAGTATAGACCAGCAATACAATTAAAAGATTTTTTTGTTTTAAATTATTCATTGACACTTAATATGCATATTGTATAGTATAATATAATACATATTATTTTATAGTTTATACAATTTCTGAAATTGAAAAAGTACTTATTCGTTCTTAATCGTATTTCATTTTAATAAATAAACAATGTCTAATAACATTAGTTAAATATTATTAGAAACCGAAGCAATATAACTCAAAAAATGCCATGATTTAATTGTTTGATCGACTTGGCCATTATTCAAAATAAAATAAATAAATAATTATGCTTATTTTTTAAATTTCAGTTGGATATAATCCACAAGTCCCAGGTATAATGTTATAATAATGGTTTTTCCATAGTTTTATTTATATTTTTCTTCTAAAAACTTTAAACCGAAACATTGTAAGATTTTGAAATAGGTTAAAAATGCTTGGTTAAGAAATTGGTTACAATTATAATTTTTTTTACGAGAAAAGTGTACAATAAATAAATAATCTTCTTACAAATATTTATTAAAATATGAACATCGTATATTTTAGCATATATATGACGCACATTATATGAAAAACCATATTTTAAAGAACCCTACAAGATAGATGGTTGTACATTTTTAATATCTATGTAATTTAAATATAAAATATATTATAGACAGAGTGCATGGATTATATTATTATTCTACTTTAATTATTTATCAGATAAATACAGAAATTTAAAAATGTAGTCGAATTATAATTACCTATTTATTTTATTATTTTTTAGAATATTTTACTATTATTTTATATATTTTACTTCTTACCTTAATAACTTTAAAAATATAATTACTGATGAGTGGTTTTCATTTAATTATTAATTTGATCTTAATATAATCTTTCCGTCGTTTGTTCTAATGAAAATTTATTGTTTCAGTATCAAATTTTAATTAAAGTTGATAACACATAAATTACCACGTTTTAAAATTGCTTATGTTAAAAAACACTTATTTTCTAAACTGTATGAATTAAGTGTGTCCTTCAGGCTTTTAGAGTCTATTCCGTTCAGGAAACATTTTTGTATAAACAATGGTTAAACAGATGATGTATGTTATTTTTGTAAAATATTTTACTACTTTTTGATTTATTAGGTAAATTATTTATGGGCTATTCCTTATGCATATAACATTTTATTTTATAGAAATAATATATTTTTAAAGTGTTTCAAAATAACTCAATAAAGCCATTATTGGATTTATGTACATTTATTATTTAAATAAAATGAATCTGAAGTTATAAGAAATAAATACTTGTAATTATTTAACATAATATGCAGTGTTGAACGAAAGTGTGTTGAACAGTATACTCTGCATGCAAAAATCGATTAAGTATAATCTATTCACCATATTATGACAACCTGAATACAATTTATTAAATATTGTAGTGTCGAAAAGTTGATATAAAATTAAACGAAAGTATTGGAATGTTTTTACTTCTTATTCGTTTTCTATTTTACTATCCCATTCACAGTGTTTGAGTAACATTTTTCTATTTTGTCACTAAAAACTCAGTCACAGTGTCATTTACGAATATCGTCTCAAGAATCGTTATATACCGGCTATGTATATATCACTATTATCGGTGAAATTGATATTCCATCATAATTAATTATTATGATACGAATAATAGCAGAGAATATCGAACGCGTGAAAATTGATCATGGTGCTCGATGTACGACGTATCAATGATGTTGATGCCATAAAGGTATTATTATACTCGTATTTTGTGTATTGATGCTCCAATAAAAAAAATTTAACACTTAATGTTTTTTTTTTTTTTTTTTTTATTATTTGATAAATAATGTTTAAAATTTAAATCGTGTTTTAGAACACATTATAATTTACTTGAGGTGGAAGAGAAATTTTTGATTCTATTATGTTCTATTCTGATAATCTAATGATACATTTTACAACGAATAAAAACAATATTTTTCCACCGTTCCAAAAAACTGCTACCAAATCAAACTGTATATTGGTTGTAGAATATTACACCTTTGATAATTTAATACGAAAAAGCAGCAGATCTAAATTACAAATGGAAAATGTAAATTGAGATAATTTTCAAGAATTTATTACTCTAATCAGAGCTCTTGGTACTAATTTTATATGAACATCCAAGAGCAAGAATAATATAAGACTATAATTTCAGAATGCCAAACTAATAATATAATCATAAAACTACGATTATTGTAATTGAAACACTCATTAAAAAAATAAAAATAAATATCTACTTTTGGTCTGTGGCAATAGTTATTGGCAATATTTTCATACATGGATCAGTTCATTATAAATCGATGTGTTAAGTTTTAGCACCACGACATTTATCTCAAATCTTACTAAATAAACATAAAAAAAACAATATTATTTCAATGGTTTTTTAAGATATTTTAGTGTTATTTTCATCATAACTATTTAAGAATTTTTAATTTCATGATTTTTTTTAAGTCTATATCCTGTTTGTGCGACGGCTACAAGAGAATTGATGATAGTGTTACATAATATGTAAGACAGTATAAGACTTAATAAGGAATAGTTTATAGTAACATCGCTAAAATATTAAATTAAAACACAATTATTGCAAAGTATTGTAACAATAACACGAGATAAGAATATAATCTGATACAGTCGAGCGGTCAATGTGCGTGTAGAGTGTGAAATAACAAAATCGTACAGCCGACTACGGATATTAGAGTTAGAATAAAAAAACCCAAACAAAGTTGTGTTCTTCTTTGGCATAATAAAGGCGCCAAGGTCGGAAGCTTAAAGGATTTATGCCGGAAAAGTGTAATTAGAGGGATATTAACAACAGCTACGATTTATTTAACAACAATGTTCGTCTCCCAACACTGGTTATTTTGTCTTTGTAATTTTATTCATATGAAGGCAAGTTCAACGTTGCAAGTCATCAATTTCTTCCGAAATCGCTACACTACATTAAATACTGTTCGCATTACAATAAGTGAATGTAATCATTTTTGCGAGACCGGCAACGTACACGTGAGCCCGTTTAACTATATATTTGCGCCCAAGTGTTAAGGTCATTGCTGGAGCGTTCTCAAGGAAGTGGACTTCGGATGGATTGTAATCATCACCATGTACTATATCTATTGTACATTTCTTGTTTGCATAAATAAATAAATAAATAAATAAACAAATATCTACCATGCAATACGTAGTTAGCTTATCCATTACTGTATTATAGCAGACGGCTGAAAAGACCATAATAATAGGCACCGATATGGTAACGGATGTGCCACATTTGATTCTATTTAAGATAGAATTATTTTTCGATTCCAAAGTAAATAATATTAAAAAAAAAAAAAAACCCCACAGTGTTAATTATGTTAATTAATTACACGTTGATTAATCTTCTGCTTTAGAGAGTTATTATTCGCAGTACGTAAATAATTATTCAAAACACTATAATGTAAACAGTAAAGATGTATTTCTACGAATTACATGACGGAACTACACCAAAACGATTGTCTGTTACATACTCGTAACGTGTAGAATATATAGATCTATTCGCAAGACGTCAGACTTAAAAAATCCACGGAAAATACAATTATTCTATTACTCACAGCCAATGCTGCGCCTAGTATATAATTAGCGCCCGGTGCCAAGAATAATTTTTAGCGCCCCCACCCTCTCTACCGAATATTGCTATACCTATAGGCCTGGGGTGGGCAACTGGCGACCCGCGAGCCTTTTTATCTGGCCTGTGTTATATTTTAAAATTGCATCATACAATTTTAAAGTTTATCGAGTGTACTCTAACTTATCGATATCTAGTATTAAA